ATCCTCCCTATCATTACATGAGCTCAAGGGGGTATAGCTCTCAACCCTCGGGTCACCAATCACGCATTTCGATGCATGATGGCCGAGGAGCCGAATTGCACGACTCTATGTGAAATGAACGCACATATGAACACATAAAGCCTAAAACTCCATCATGTATAGTCAAGAGTGTCAGCGGCCGAGAATTGAAGCACGTTTCATCACTTCAAGTATGAAACGTCCCTCGTTTCCCGTGTTCGGACTAACTCCTATTCCAAACACAATGCAACACATAACATGGCATGCACAATGCTACGTAACATGGGATATGCAAAAATGTAATGCAACACAAGCATGCAAATATGCAATGCAAAATGAACAACCTAACAAGGCTAATGGCATGCACAATGCTAATGCATTCATACACAATGCAAGGCAACACAAGTATGCAACAATATGAACAACTAGCATACACAATGCAAATGGACATGGCATACACAACGCAATGAACCACATGGCATACACAATGCTCGATGGACTTAAACCAAAATGGACTAACCTCAGTCATGCCCAAATCAGTGGCCAATATGATGAAAATGAGGCAACAAGGTACATGCAAACATGCACAAATGCAAAGAACCAAACCTAAGAAACAAAGTGTAACTCTACCAAAGCATGACAAGGATAAAATATGGCATATGATGACACATGTTCCAGCTCTGAAATGACATACAAGATGGTCCCGAATCATGCAAACAACTCACCCGATGCATGTTGGATGGCACAATTACCGAAACTAGTGAAGTGCATTACACTAGAGGTATGCAAAGCGATGCCCAAACGACCAAACCAACCCCAAATAGTCACTATGCAGACCCAAAACAGTGGCAAAATGGACTTAAAATGATGGCTTGCAATGCACAAAAATGAAACTCATGCAATAGCCCAAAAATGAGGCATACAAGCGCAACTCTCAAATGCATTTAAAGAGTGGAAAACATGGGAATATGGCACAAGTATAAGCTCTGAAATAACATGTTCAATGATGCCAAAACATGAAAACAACTCAAGTTAAGCATGCAAGAGGCTTCAAAACTCGAAGCTAAGCAAGGGTATTACACTACAAGCATGCATGGCAAGCATCATTCGACCATGGGACCTCAAAACAGAGCTAAGGCAGCCCAAATATGGCCAAATTATGCTAGAATCAAGGGCCAAAACAACATGCAATGTGAGCTAACGAACATGGATTACATTACAAGCATATGAAGCATTCAAGAGGACACTAAACCAGAAAAATTCAGAGACATGACATGCCAAATAAAGCCCCAAAACCCACTGAAACATAATCAATGCATGCAAGAATGTCATGCTCCTTTGATTGGCTATAAGAGGGGTTATTCTACACATGCAAGAGACACACCCAAGGTGACAAAACCAACTCTAGACAGAGCCTAGTGTCACAGACTGCCAAATTTTGAAGCTGTCCCTCACTAAGAAAGACCTAGGAGGCTCTGGAGATCACTGGAACATTCTAGAACTTCCTAGAGTTTTGTAGATGCTTGTACATAATTGTAGATATATGTAGATCCTTCTAGATATGTATATTCTAGAATAGTTCTAGAATAATCTACTAAGATATAGTAGAAGGAAGTGTCTAGAACACTCTCCATACTTATAGTTCTAGAATGATCCTTGTAGCCTATAAAAGGGGGAGGGAGTCATTTGCCCAAACCACCAAGTGTAATCAAGCATTCAAGCAATACAAAGCTAGCATTCTCCAAGAGCTCTCTCTAAGTTCTCTAAAGTCTCTCTTGTGTGTGCAAACTTCTCCTAGCTCTCTCCCAAAGAAGGCTTACTTAGGTGCAAGCAAGGCGTGCATAAGCATCTAAGGCCGCACGGTTGGCTTGGAAAAACCAAGGCCGTGACACTAGGAAGGCCCTAAAAGTCACTGAAAAGGGCCTGAAACAAGACTTGGAGTTGTGCAAATGAAGGCTCCTTTGATAGGCCAAAATGCAAGCAAACAAGATCAAAAAGAGAGAGGGTCACCCATCTTTGATTTAGGACCTCAAAACCACATGCCAACCATTGAAAATCCGCTGGATTTCAGTGGCTAAAAGGCCAAGCAAGTACTAGCTCAAAGGCCCTATGGCATGGCACAAAACAAGGCCAAATGAGGCATGCAAGAGAGTAGAAGACCCTCAACACCAAAAGGGCCTTAAACAAACATCAAAAGGACCTCAAAACAAGAATTTTTTCAGTTGACAATAAACTCAAATATGCATGCAATTAAGGCTAAGAGATGGATCAAAATAAAGCTTAAAAGAGTGAAAAAGTGTGTTACCCTTGAAGCTTAGCAAGACAGCAACTTCTAGACCCAAAACCCAACTCCTTAACCTCTAAAAATGGCCTCCAAGAAGCTCCAAGCAATAGTGGAAGGGTTAGGCTATGAGGCGGTGTGCAAAGGTGCAAGAACAATACACTTTTTTAGCCAAAATAGAAAGATATAGAGGGAGATATATTGTATGCCTTCAACCAACTTCTGAACCCTCACAAAAGAGGAGGAGGCCCTCCTTTATAGCCAAAAGGAACCAAAGCTTCTCAAAGAAGCTAAAAATTAAGGTTGAAGATCCTCCATACACGTGTATAGAGGATCTAGTCTGTGCCTTCCAGCTGGCACAGCTGGCAACAACTCACAGAGACAAAACTGGGAGAGGCAGACTGACCAGTTCAAGTGGTCGGCCGACCAGTTCAAAAGGTTCAACTCAATGAAAGGTGGTCGACAGCCCCATTTGATGGTCTCCACATTGAATGCAAGCTAGTGGTATGGTGGGAGACTAGTAGATGTGGCTCAAAGACCAAGGAGACCAACTTCTTGACAAGAAAATCGGCTGGCGGGAGAAAAGTGGTCTCCAAGGAGAAAAGGTGGTCTCCCACCCTTGTACCACCTCCCAAACAATGAAAACAAGGTCCATGCCAAAAATGAACCAAGATGGATGCAAAACGAGGGTTCGGGGGTCAAAACGCGCAGCCGGGTGCTCCGAAAACAGGCTGTTAAGCATCGGAAGTGGCGTGCGACCACAAGGTGGTCTCCCGGATCACAGTGTCCCTCTAGAGAGAGGAAGCAAGGTGTGTGCCAAAAACCATGCCAAACAGAGAAAGTTAAGCGGTCCCGAACCGAGGCGCACGACCGACGGCTACGAAAATCAGAAACTGGTCTCTAAACGGGAGAAGTGGCCTACGACCACGAAAAGTAGTCTACGGCCACTGAGAGATGGTATACGAGACCTCTCCCTCCCTCGGGAAGAGAAAACAAGACCTAGTTCGCAAACCGAGGCAAAGCACAAAAGGGTCCCAAGGTCCGGGGGTAAGGCTCTCAGCCGAAACTCCGAAACCTCAAAACGAACACAACATGCACCATCACCGAGCGCTCAATCGATGACGTCTGAGTCTTAAGGTCGGTCAAAAATAGGGTGTCTATAGGAGTGTATGCACTAATAGCATTCATTATATTCTCTTCAATAATTAGTTTAACTAATAGCTAGTATTATCCTTATCTCCATTAATATTTGAAAATAATATAATCAACTTTATACTTTTGACATAATTAAATTAATCTCTATCTTAGTAAAAAAAATATAAATTTTGTAAGGAAAAACACACTCATATGAGTAACGAATTAATAATGAAAAATGGTTTAATTGTTATATAAATTATGATTTAAAAAAAATTAGAGAAATTTAATGAAATATCTCTTTCCAACTTTTGGTTGTAGGAGATATTCAATAAGTTTTTCTTATTAGTTAAGGTCCTTCAATAATATTATTAGAGAAATTTCAATTCATTACATAGAAATTTCAAATTTTTACGTGACAAATTTCTCTGTGTCAAATTTTTACGTGACAAATGTCTTTGTGAAATTTTTCTTTGAAGAGTTGAAATTTCTCAGTGTCGAAAGTTTTAGTAAAAATTTTGAAGGATTCCAATTATTATGAAAATATTACATGTCATCTATCTTATAAAATTTTAATATAAAAAACCTTAAACTAAAAATTTCAAAACATTATTATAATTATGTAAAAAATATAAGATTAACAACATTTTTTTTTTCAAATAGGAGGAGAATTGAGTATAATTTATCATATATTATTATATCAAATGAAAATAAAGAGAAAAAAAAAGGGAAAAAATTGAGGTTTCATTTGACAATTTTTAATTTTAGTCAAAAAGTCAAAGTTGTTGTCACATCATTTTCTTTATTTTTTTTATATCTTTTTGTAAAAAGTCAAAAAATTATTAAAATAGTCATTTCCCAAATGAGGCCGAATTGAAAATAAAACCAGTATTGGGTTACTATTGGGTCCGTGGAGGCTCACCATTGTTACTATTTCGAAAATCCAAATCGTTCAATGTGTAGAACTCGTCAAATAAAGAGAAAAAAAAAAGGAAAAAATTGAGGTTTCATTTGACAATTTTTAATTTTAGTCAAAAAGTCAAAGTCATTGTCACATCATTTTCTTTATTTTTTTTATATCTTTTTGTAAAAAGTCAAAAAATTATTAAAATAGTCATTTTCCAAATGAGGCCGAATTGAAAATAAAACCAGTATTGGGTTACTATTGGGTCCGTGGAGGCTCACCATTGTTACTATTTCGAAAATCCAAATCGTTCAATGTGTAGAACTCGTCAAGTACCATATGACTGCAAAAAATTACATTGATTAGATATCGATGGTTATCTTATCGGATCAGATTTCTGTTAACCATTTTTTTTTATCGTCTATTTTTTTTATATACAAAGATTAATTTGATTACGTAACTATTGATATTAAATTAACATAATTTATTTTATTACGAACATAAAATACTTAATAAATTTTACACATTAAATAATTTATATTATCAAAATAAAATCCATAACGAATCGTATAAACCTAACAATAACCTCCAATCCGATCGTCGAGCAAAGACCGTCCCATAAAACTAATTTCTTGAAGTAGCCATTGATCGTGGGCATTAGAAGACGACAATAAAAATACCTTTGGAAAGCTGTCAGATTTCCATTGACTAAAAGATTAGTTATTTATTTATATATATAAACTCCATACTATATGATATGAGCTTTTCTTCAATATCACTCACTCTTTTCTCTCCCACCGCAATCCCCCACTTTAAAGTTTAACCAACCGATTCGTTAAAGTCAAACTTGACACACACATCTCTGGCTACTCCGATCGATCTCGCAGCCCAATGGCAGATCCCAAGGCCAATTCTGAGATCTCATTCGCCGGAACCTTCGCTAGCAGCGCTTTCGCCGCCTGTTTCGCCGAGGTATTCTTCACCAACCACCGCTTCAATTTCAATCCTCAATTCACCACATTTTCTTCCAATGTTTCTCAATTTTTGTTAATTTTGGATTCGATCGCTTTTGAACTTCATTTTGTGGATCCCTGATTCACCGAACGATTTTGAAATCTTGTTGTATTGCTTTGCATTTCGGTTTTAAATTACCATTGCTTCGAGTGGTGTAGCCAGAAATTTTGCTCACTTGTGTCATTCAATTAGTGATTCATTACCTCATTTTTTTTTTTTTTAGTACTATAGAACTTGTAAAAGTAAATTTTCTCATATTATAGTATATTATACTGTAATATTATATATTAGCAATAAGTAATTCAAACTTGCCAAATTGTTATATATACAACAAAACTTAGATACACTAATATATTATTATTTCAATAAAATTGAACAAAGCGAAATTGTGCGATTCCAATTGATGAAACAGAGAGTGAGATAGACAAAATGAGTCTGCAAACTCGGGGTTTGACTCTTATAACAAAATAAATTCTGAATTTTTAATTTTATCAATTTAAAGCTAAATTCTATTTTTTAAAAATAGAAATATGACACTATCATGTCTATTATGTCAATAATGCTACATTTATTACATTTTTATACAATGTTTTGTTTGTCATCTAATGTGTCACATCCACAATAGTTGTTGCAATAGATCCACACAAGTCTCATCAATATTAAACAATTACTATGTCACATAAGAGAATCTGGTATACAAAATTGGTTTAAAAATATGATAATTGTAGCATTACTCTTTTTTTTTTAAACAATTTCAGTGATGTCAATTTATGAAAACCTTCCAAAATTTTTACATAATACTATATAAGTTTTCTTGAAAGTTTGTTGGGTTCACTTGAACCCACTCACTTGTACTTGGCTCTGCCCATGACTGTTTTTCTCAGTTGGCCAATTGATACGACATTTTTGGAATCTCTGTGCATACAAGTTTGGGAAGTTGCTCTTAGAACATCTCCATTGGATATAGCTCTTTGTATGCAATTCCTTTTCGTATTTCTTGAACTAGGTCTTATTGTTCATGGAGAATCAAAATCAACTTCAATTAGATTTTGATTGGAGTTCATAGAAATAGGAATCTCAAAATGAGGGGGAGAGGATTGAGGGTAGAGTTAGGAATTGTTGCACGAGTCGTTTGACTTTTTGGAATCTTGCCACTTTAATAGTCTGTTTGGATCAGGTGATTTGATGATAAATGGTAAGAGATAAAGAGAAAGAGAATTATGTTCTTATCTTTGGTTTATAAGTTAGGTGTGAAATGGAGAGAAAGTCAACTTTTTTATTTTATAGGTTTCATTTCTCACAAAAAGTGGTGAGATTAGTAAAAAAAACTAATTGGTTGTGTATTTTTATAATATCAAGATTGCCTATTGAAATACGAAGGAAGAAAAAAAAATCCCACCCATATCCCTATATTGCTTACTTTGCTTCTTATTCATCCAATCATGATAGTGAGAAAACATAATCATTGCTTTTATCTTCTCACCCAGATGAGAAACCACAGTCATCCATGATCCAAACGGAGCCTAATAGATAAGTGGGGTTTTAATTTCTTTGTTACCAAATCAAACCAAGCCTTAAGTTTTATCAAATGGGGTCAGCTGCATAAATCATTCTTTTCTATTCAACTCTATCAATGGCCATTTGCTTAGTCAAATTAAGGAGATTCATATCTCTATTTACTACACTCGCTCACGTCAATCTAGGTCCGCCCCTTCTCGTAACACTTTTATCTACCGTTACTGTATCACATCTCTTTACTACTGTCTCTATTAGTCTTCGTGGTATATGACCAAACTATCTCAATCTATTATCTCTCAACTTATCTTCTATTCCGACCCATTCACGAATATATTCATTCATAATTCTGTCTTTTCTAGTCTCGCTATATATCCACCTTAGCATCCTCATCGTAGCAACACTAATCTTATTTACATGTTGTTTCTTAGTTGCCCAACATGCTATCCCATACAACATCATTGGTCTAATAACCATTCTATAAAACTTTTCTTTTAGTTTAGTGGGTATTCATTTATCACATAGTACTCTAGATGCACTCCTCTACTTAAGCCACCCTGCCTTAATTCTATGGACCACATTCGTTCCATTCTCCCCAACCGTTGTGATAATTGATCCTAAATAATGAAAATGTTCATTCTTAGATAGTTCTTGGTTCTCAATCTTCACTTCTCCTCTACTTCCATTGTCACTGTTACTAAAATTACACTTCATGTACTTTGTCTTAGTTCTGCTTATCCTAAATCTTTTAGATTCAAGTGTTTCTCTTCAAGTCTCCAATTTAGTGTTAACTTATTCTCTAGTCTCATCCACTAACACGATATCATCTGCAAAAAGTATACACCATGGCACATCATCCTGAATATTTCTTGTCAATTCATCCATAACTAAAGCAAAAAGATAAGGATTTAAGGTTGATCCTTCGTGTAATCCCACAGTAATTGGAAATTCACTTGTCTCTCCAGCAGGCAATCTAATAGTGCTCACTACACCTTTATACATGTCCCTAATCACATCAATGTACCTTTTGTCACCCATTTCTTCTCTAACACCCACCAGATTATATTTTTCCCATACTTTTCTATTAATTTCTTTGTTATTGGATTAATAATGGTAGAATAAATTAGTGATGAATTAAATTCCAATTACAATGGCATAATACAATTTTTATAAAAAAAGTCAACTACTGAAAGGTGTAGTATAAAATAGTATAGTGCTATATCTTGTGTCAAATTTGGCCCAGGATATAATACAATGCTATTTAAGCACAACATATACTATACGGTTGGAGTGAGGTTTAATGTTTATTGATTGTCATTTGTTGACTGTGGGTTGGTTTTGTGGCTATGATATGAAGGAAGACAGAATTTTATGCCAAAACTTAAGCAAACTGGATTCATTTGATGTCCTCACACCTTAGCTGGTAGCTGCTGCCACCACCAAAAATGCTGCATAGCTGCTGGTCCAATATCTCAATTTCTTTATTTAAATTTTAATTTTGAGGAAACAATTTAGTGAACTTGATATAATGTTCACATTTGTGTACATCCAAGGCTTCAATCCTCAATGTCAATGCCAATAAGTCTTAAACACTTTCTGATTTTCTATCCTTAAATTCCATTTCTCTAGCCTTATTCAACTATCATTTGCCATTATCACACCCGCATGAGTTGTCCACTTTCATTGTTGTCATAAATTTGTGTTGTGGTTCCAAACAATTGTGAAGCCAACTAGAATCAAGTTTGAAATTACCAAATCAGGTATGTTGTAGTCCAATTTAAGAAGATAAATCATTTTGGATATTCAGTTGATTGATTACTTCTTGAATGTTGAGATTTATGTTCGAACCAGGTGGGTGTAATGTGTTTCTTTCCTTTTAATATCACAAATGAAAGTGACTGATTGTAGCTAATGCAGTTTGGTTCATGTGAAATTAATGAACCCTTTTAATCCATGTATATGAATTTTGTGCAGTTGTGTACTATTCCTTTAGACACTGCTAAGGTTAGGCTTCAGCTCCAAAAGAAAGCCAATACAGAGGAGGAAGCTGGTGTTCCTAAATACAGGGGAATGTTGGATACTGTTGCTACTATTGCTAGGGAAGAAGGTTTAATAGCACTTTGGAAAGGCGTCATACCTGGATTGCATCGTCAGTTTCTATATGGAGGTTTAAGGATTGGATTATATGAGCCTGTATGTTTTGTCTTCCAAGAACTTGATTGTTGTTTATGTGTTCATGGTGATACATTCTTGTGTCTTTATAATCACACGTTGTACAGGTCAAGGCCTTTTTTGTTGGCAGTGAATATGTTGGGGATGTTTCTTTATTCCAGAAGATACTTGCTGCTCTGATTACTGGTGAGTGCTTTGGGTGATTGTTACTCCCCCCCCAACCCCAATGCAGAATATAGCTTACAACCATAGTTGTCAAATCGGGATTCGAATCGTGAATCGAAATGCCCTTGTACCGGATCGCGATTGAATTATGAATCGTAAAGATTTGGTCATTTTAAAAAATGAGATAAAAAAACATATCTACACACTTAAATATTACATTTATCTTACAAATATGAAATATTTAGACTAAACTGAAAATGCTATTTGGTTTTTTGTTTTGTGTTATGTTATTTTTAGTGATTTTTTTTCATATTTTAATTTTTAGATGTACCTAATTTAGGTGTGTACTTGAAAGGTAAAATATTTGTGATAGATTCTAAGAAAAAAATAATAATAAATATAAAAATATACTAAATTTTTAGATGTGTATAAAAGGCAAAAAAAAAAAAAAACAGTTATCAACCATTCTTTTATCTTGATAAAGAGAGCAATTAAAAACTCAAAACTCCAAATTCCAACACCAATAGCACTGTGACAGCAATAACAGAGGTACTAAAGTAATAAAAAGGCTCAAAGTGGGCAAACTATAAACTATTCAATTCAATTCTTGTACAACAAGCAGTATCGTATTGGACAAATAGCAGCTCAAAGTCCAAGCACGACACCTCAAAAAAGTTTGTTGAAGCTTCAAGATTTAATTAACGTTGAAGGCGCAAGGACCCAACATCAAAAGCTACTTCTTCGTGACTAGAGAAAGAGAAAAACATTTTTTTTCTTGGGTTTTTTCGTTTGAGAGTTAATAGGCAAACCAAAAGACAATGGGATTATTATATAATAACTCGAAAGGTCTTAGAAGACCTAGTTGATCCATTCTCCAGCAAAATAAAGCCAAAAAAATGCATCAGAAATCAAAGAAATTCATTCGCGTGTGACTGGTTGCGGGTTTAGCCGCAATTTCCATAATCGTGCGATTCTGCAATTTGTTACGATTCGGTGATCGATTCAATGATACAGGTGCGATTCATTGCCATTTACGATTCTCTCTACTAGTTCGTATCGATTTGTGTGTGTATCGAACTGAATCGTACGATTCTAACAACAGAGCTTATAACATGAATCAACCTCATCTCCCCCATGCAGAACATAGCTTATAACGTGAATCAACCTCATCTCTAGCTTTATCTATCATAGAAAAGTTTTGAATAAATTGTTCACAATTTCTTTCATTTCTGATTTTGTAAGTGGCTACTTGCACATCAAACAGGTGCTCTAGCAATTGCAGTGGCTAATCCAACTGATCTTGTGAAAGTTCGACTTCAAGCTGAAGGTAATCTGCTGCCTGGATTGCCTAGGCGGTATTCTGGAGCATTGAATGCTTATTACACCATAATGAAACAGGTATGTAATTTGATAAAAACTAGTTCTATTTAATTTTATCTACTTATTTTCCATAGTTGCAATCTAACAAGGTAAAAAGTAGGAAGGACTGGCAGGTTTGTGGACAGGGATTGGGCCTAACATTGCACGAAATGCTATTATAAATGCTGCAGAACTAGCTAGTTATGACCAAGTGAAAGAGGTAATATTATGATGTAGAGCCCATAGCTTTGCACTACTTGTGTTATTTGTAGTCTTGCTATTATATGTTTATCCTGGTTCTTTTCTAAGTTGTTCCTACCTGTGCAGACAATTCTGAAAATTCCAGGGTTCACAGACACTGTTTTTACCCATCTACTAGCTGGTTTAGGTGCAGGGTTCTTTGCAGTCTGTATCGGTTCTCCCGTTGATGTGGTGAGCTTTTCTTTTTCACTTCCTACATCCTCGTATTTGCTAATTGATTAAGCTCACTATAGATGCTTTGTTAGTCTTGTATCAGCATCAGGCTTTTATTCATGCATAGACATTGTTTGCTAGGTTTTGAAATTTTGTGAAGGCTTACAGTTGAAATTCTGATAAATATTTAGGACTAGGTTGACATAATGAAATTGAAGAACAAAAATTTTGGAGAGATAGAACAGACTCATTATTTTTATTATTTTTTTGTAATTACAATCTTTTTATAATCAACTATTTGTTTATTGTAGTAGTGAACAATGTTATTTAAGGCGCGCCTAGGTGTGCGCGTAGGCCAAAGTCCCATCTAGGCCCAAGGTTTTGCTCCTTGTAGTGTTCCAGGCCAGGCGACTTCGATAAGGCACGCCTAGGCGTGCACCTAGGCCCAAGTTCCATCCAGGCCCAAGGTTTGCGCCTTGTAGTGTTTCAGGCCAGGTGACTTCGATAAGGCGCCTGACTAGTCCAAGACACAATAAGGCCCAAGGCTCGTGTCTTGAAGGCTTTTTTTATTGTTGCTTTAATTGGTTTTGTTTAAAATTTGATCATTGATTTAATATGGTGAAGCTACAGAAGCTCTCTACTTCTATTACAGATGCCAATATATTGGGGATTCAATCCCAAATCAATGATAGAAAAAAAATTAGCCCTAATTCCTAATCTCTGAAGAATACATGTTTAACATTTTATTTTGTTTATGTTGAATCCTAAATTATTTACTTATATTAAATTATATATTTTTTTCCGTACAAGGTGCGCCTCACTTTAGTGAAGCTTACGCCTTGAGCCTAGGCCCCAGGAGACCTTGGTGCCTTAGTGTGCCTATCGCCTTTAATAACACTGGTAGTGAATAATGAAGGAACATTAGAAAACGGCATGCGCTTGTGTGTTTTTGTGTTTGTGAACATATTTATTACTTTAAAGGTTAGAATTTTGAGTTACACACAATCTTCACATATTTCTCTTGTTGGGTTCTTATTTTTGAAGGCTCAAGTGTTTACCTAGGTAAAAATCTAATTAGAATGAAGGATTCTTTCGAAATTGCAATGCCAACACTGCTGAACATAGTATTGGTGGCTGGTTATGAGTAGGGTTGCAAACAAGCTGATTTGAGTTCAACTTACTGACAATAAGGCGTGCTCAAGCTTGAGACGAGCTTAAAGAATCAAGCTTGAGCTTGACTCATTTAGTGTTTGAGAAATTCGATTAAATAAATGAGCTGAGCTCAAGCTTAGGAAAAAAATAAAATAATATCAAACATAAATTAACATGCATGTTAATTAAGAGAAAAAAGAGAAGATTATATAACTTTCGTCAATTAAATATATCAATTTGCACAACCACCAAAGATAAACAAAAAATAAAATAAAATAACAAAAATATAGTTGATATATTATTAGAAATAAAAATTAATTGTTCGTGAGCCTATTCAAGCCAACTTGGTCTACTGGAGTTCTCAATTCAGCAAGGCTTTAATCCGAAATCTATGAGCCTATAAAGGTTCTGCTACATGAAGCCTTCTTATTTAGTTAGTTCTGTTTAACAACCTAAACCAACATCTGTGTCCACTCCTCTTTTCCTTTCAGTTTTTTAAGCAAATATTTGATTTATAGAGATATACCTTCAGTTTAACAGGGGATCTGACTGTTAATTTTTGCCTCTTTTTTAGTTAAAAAAATGTATATCTGTCTTTCTGGAACTAATTTAGTTATATTAACAGAGTTATCTTTTGAGAAATAGTTTTGGTCTAGTAATGGAAAGCTGTGGGGCTAGTCAGTCAAAGGTGTCACGAGGATATCCTGTTTAAGTGAACAATATCAAATCCACCCGTGGTGAAGATCATGAGATTCGTTATACCTTAATATATTTTGCCATAGTTATCAAATTTTCACTGGTTACTGTCTTTTGTTTGGTGATTGCATCATAATGTATGCATGAACATTTGTTTCTAATCATGTAGAGTAATTTATTGGAGTTTCTGATGGGTGGGCTATTCACTCAATGTCCGCTTAGATTTGTGCTTGTTATGTTTTAGGTTAAATCTAGAATGATGGGAGATTCTATCTACAAAAGCACCTTAGATTGTTTCATCAGAACTTTGAAGACCGAGGTACATCTATGTTTTCAGCTTTTCATTTGGCTGTGAATTGTGATAATCTACCATGTTATGATTAGCTTCTAGCATCTTAGTGTTGGGACTTTGGAGGATAAACAACTTTTCAAATTGCCTCTGATGTTAAAAGATTTATGTTCTACTTGATCCAGCGATAGAAATTATTGCTAGTGGAGTTAAAATGATTCTTTTGGAGCATATGCCTTTCGTTTGTTCTGAATGCTTGTTTGGCCACCTTCTTACATACACCAAATATGGGTCATATGCCTTTCATTTGTTCTGAAGGCTTCCATTGATTGGCCACCTTCTTAATTATTCCAAATATGAGTCTTTCTGGTGAAGCAAGTTTCAATTCTCTTACTATTAAAAATTACCTTAGTTCCTTTTATGTGTTAAATACAAAGATATGATTTCTAGTTCAATGCTAACTTCTCATATGCCTTGTTCATTCGGTCAAAACAATTGAATAAATAAATTTGAACACGAGGTTATTTGTACTTATATTTATTTTCTTTCTTTTTCTTGTGTCTTTCTCGTTTTCTATTTTTGTATGCACTGCCTGATCTCACATAGAATTTCATGTTGGATTTAATATTAAATGAAAAATTGGTATTGGTTGAGGGTATATTAGCATGGAAGATATTAATTTTATCTGGTAGTATCTCATGCTAGTTAACATATTGCAGGGACCTTTTGCCTTCTATAAGGGATTCCTCCCAAATTTTGGCCGGCTTGGAATTTGGAATGTGATCATGTTTCTGACTCTGGAGCAAGTAAGATTTCCATATTCCTTCATTTTGGTACATGTTCTCTAGCATGAAAATTTAGGCAATTACTTCAGGCTGCTTTGGTGACGGACTTACTGTTCATAGTTAACTTCTCAGGAAAATGAATTTTGTTTTTTGAGAAGGAAGAACTGCTTACCCTCTAGGTAGAATTTAACAGAGTACGTTTGCTAAGAAGCATAGAGACAAACAGGGGACACAACGATTTCGAAAACATTAGGATATGGACACGGTTGGGATACATAAATATATATATATTTGCTATGTATATGAATATAAATTTTGGGCACAAAGATATTAGGGGGATTGGGTGATATTTGCTAATAATTGAGTATAATTAACCCAAGATATTAAAGACATCTATGTATATGTGGGTATATATATATATTTTTTTTCTTACTTTCTCCCTACTTTGTTTTCATGTATTTTACTCCGATCCTAAATCAATTATCTATAATTTTAAAAAAAAAACCCGCAAAGGTGAAGCTTGTCCAAACATAGAACATGCATGTTCATGAAGTGTCTCCAAAGTGTCTTGCAATAAGATAATAATTAAAAAAAGGGGCAAATTACAAACACCCCCCTCCAGGTTTGGTAAAAATACAGATTCCCCCCTGAGGTTTGAGAAATTACAAATTGCCCCCTCAAGGTCAAATTTTCATAACAAATTAGGGGAAATTAGGGGGAAATCTGTATGAAAATAAAATCTCAGGAGACAATTTGTTATGAAAATATAAATCTCAGGAAGCGGGATGTAATTTCTCAAACCTCAGGGGGAAATTTGTATTTTCACCAAATCTCGAGGGGGGTGTTTGTAATTTGCCCTAAAAAAAATTGACACACCATTTGGCGTGTCCGACATGTGGACAAGTGTGTGCCTGGCATGTCGGTGTTTGATACGTGTCCAACATGGACACAACACCCATTTTGAAGTGTTCGTGTTTCGTAATATGTTGGTTTCTTGGACAAACCAAGCACAATTATAATATTTGTAAAAATTTATGTATTATTGATTGATTTTGATTGATACATATTGATGTCTATTACAATGATTCATGATTCCTATATATAGAAGAGGGTGAGTGTGTAGTAGGTAAGGAGTAGGTGAAGTGGAGGTGGTAGTGGTGTAGTGGGTTAGGTTTAGTGGAGTAGGTGAGGTGGTAGTGGTGTAGTGGGTTAGGTTTAGTGGAGTAGGTTTAAGTGGGTGAAGTAGGTGATAGGTTTTAACAATATTCAATGGATTAACATCTGGGGAAGTAAGTTGAAATCTGTTTGAAATTTTATTTCTGTGCTTAATATTTGATTAGTGATGATGAAAGGCTGCCATATAGAGATAGACTGGTAATAATTAGTTCACTTTTAAAAGTTTTGCTAGGTTTTGGCTTTAGCAAGGGTTATAGCATGCTAATAGAGATGCTCTTAACTCAATCAAAAACACCCATGTCCAGTATGGCAAGTGTGGGTCATGTGATGATCTCGTTTCGTTGCTTAGACCCTCAATTCTAGTTTCTATATTGGCACACGTGAAATGTGCTGGAAGCTATATTTGGTTCTCTGTATTGCAGTCAGCGAATGAGATCTGCTGTCCTGTACTCATGTCTATATACCCCACCTGTAGTTAATATATGGATGTTTAATCTGATCAAAATGAGCCCAAGCAGATGCATTGAGATGTAAGGGCAATAGATTGCTATTAGCTTTGAGGTTCAAGCAGGTGACATCATATATCATGGAATGGTATACAAAATTCCCCAAATGATACACACCATTGACTCTTGAGCAACACACCCTCTCTTTCCTTCCCCATCATTCAATTTTATACCTTCTTGTGGATCTTATGATAAATTCAAGATTTATGCTTTGTTTTTGTTTTTGTTTTTGATTTTGATTCCCATATAGCAATGTCATTAGGGTCTTTTTGTTTGTTCTCAGACTTGAATTGATTGTCTTTCTTCTGTTCCCTGTGTCAGGCCAAGAAATTCTTTGTGACGGCAGTTTAAATGAGATAACCTAAGTTATCAATCTTGGCAAGCAGGCAGCTTTTGCTAGGAATATGCCTCCGCAACTGTCGAAGATTCTTTTTAAGAAGGGTATATACAATCCCTTCTTCTATTAGTCACTCCATTTCAAATTTATAGATACTAGATTCAGGTCTCGTGTAGCAAAAGCTGCTTTTGGTATAATATTGGTTATATTGAACCAAATCTACGATAATTTGTAGGATTGTCAATTCCCATTTAAGAGCGGGTGGGTTATAATGTCATTTGCAAGCCATAGTAAGATACATGTGGTCACAAAAACTCATTTGTAGTGGTATTGGAGCATCATTATATGTTCTTTTTGTAATATTATTCTATTGATTATGGTGGAATTTGTCATTTGTGAATGTTCTCGTTGATCTTCAATCCAGGTTGTGGAATTATGCTGTTTGGAAACTTCCTAGTTTTTAATCTCACTTGTATCCCTTAGTCCATTGTTTCAGTATGCTGGCTTTTAAACAATTCCCCAAACAAAATATTGAGAATTAGAAAAGTAAAGGCAAGGTGCTCTCTCTCCCGGCAAACATCAGAGGCCATAGTATGCGTCTCAGAGTGAGGGAGTTTTGCTTGTAACAATACTTGAACCCTTGCTCTCTGAGTCTTGGCCAATTGAGCTAGTTCCAGTTGGTTAATTTTTTGGGTGAACCAGTTGGTTAATTGAATCTGTTTCTTTAGTCAACATTCAGTTTATATTTCTCAGCAGGACCGCTTGTCAAGAAGTTTTTGGCTTTATAAGTCTTGATCGAAACAGAGAACCTAACCAGCAACAATAACCATAACATTACAGCTAGATGTTGTCTCAAATCTGCAAACTAGCTTTGGCCATCTCCTTTCCCTGCTGGTTTGCTTTCTTATTCCTTGCAGTGATGTGGAAGCAATGAAGTTTACTTTCACTTCATGGCATTGCATTATTTTCACAAAGCAGGCAATCAACCTGCAGCCACACACAAGAAATAAAATAAACCAATGCTTCATTTATTTTGGCAATATATATATATATATATATATGTATATTTAGTTACTTTCTTGAAACTAATGAATTAATAGTTGCACTAGTGGTGGTGATTAGTAGTTGCACTAGTGGTGGTGATGTTGATGGGGTGGAGGTCGCGGTGATGGTGGTAATGGTGTGGTGGTGGAGGTGGTGGTGATGTTGATGGGGTGGAGGTCGCGGTGATGGTGGTAATGGTGTGGTGGTGGAGTTGATGGTAATTGGAAATTTTAGTTTCAATGTTTTTCAACTTTTAAAATGAAAAATAATTTCTATCCAAATAAACTTGTTTTTTTTATTTTTCATTATATTAAACACTAAAAAAAAAAAACATCATACAAACGGACGGACCAAAAAATATTTCAGTAATTCTCACAATAAAAATCCGTGTACTTTTGGTTGCTAATTCTTTTAAGGTTTCAACGTTTTTCAACTTTTAAAATGAAAAATAGTTTCTATCCAAATAAACTTGTTTTTTTTATTTTTCATTATATTAAACGCTAAAAAAAAAAAAACATCATACAAACGGACGGACCAAAAAATATTTCAGTAATTCTCACAATAAAAATCCGTGTACTTTTGGTTGCTAATTCTTTTAAGGGGATTTTGTGGTGAGTCCCATAGATAAGTTTGTAGTTTAACTCAAAAAATTTCATTGATTTCAGTCTTCAACAAGTTAAATTGCATTTTTAAATTTGAAGTGAAAATTCAGACGAATTTATCCATTTAGTGAAACACAGCTTATGCACTACACAAGTTAGTTATTATTATTATTTTTTTATTTCAAATTTTAAAATGTCATAATTTTTATCATACGCATCAATTTTAAATAAAATTTGTATATTTGAAATTTAATCGCCGAAATGTATAAACAAGATCAATATTAAATATGAAATATTTTGGCAAAATTTCTCAAACCACTATAATTGGCGAGAGATGATTCGCAAAATAGTAAACTACAAGAGGATGAATATCCCATTGAGGTGGATCAGTGAACAATTTTTCTTATTTGTCAAATTGTCCAAAACTGCCATACGGTTTTCCTCATTCATCAATTCGCAGCTCAATCTTCAAAAAATTGTAATGTAAATAACAAACGCATTACGTTTAGTCTGACAAACAAGACCAGCCCACTGTTCTTGATGCACTCTACATCAATTTTAGACTAAACCAAACGCACTTAATTCTCCCAGCTCCATTATCAACCTCCTTCCCCCACATCACACATAACATTCAGTCATGTTCCTACATCAAAATTGCAGTGAACATCAAAGAAATGATCAAACTTTGCACTCATGTTGCCACTACCTTGGCCGTATTTTCCTCTGTTCTTGTTTTCTCATTCCAGATTCTATGTTCTTTCAGTTTACAAGATGATGATGACAATGCTGGTGTTGATATCTCCTTGCCACAAATCTCCCCAAGTTTGGCCCAGCACATACACAGATTCCCAGCCTGTTGCAGAAAACTCATTGGCACTAACCAAGTAACCATATTGCTCCCCAAGGCCAAAAAAACCCATGTCCCTATTCTCTTCAAAGCCATGACTGTCAACATCCCTTGGGTTAGCCCTACAATTGAACAGACCTTGGAGAGTGCATTGACCAGTACCAGCATCAAGAAGTGTAACATCAAATTTAGGGTTTGCTTTCTTTGCATTGATGTATTCTCTTGAATAGTTACCAACAATCTCGGCAATTACAATTACCATCCGAGAACTTGTGGTATCTGTTAACATCTCTCACAATGATCTCCCTCTCCACCACCAAACTGAAGTACTTAAAAGCTTCATGACAATCCCTACATATCCTCAAATTTTTCACAATCCTCATAGCCTTCCCTGGTGGTGCCGCTCCACTAACCAACCCGAAAGCCACTGCCAACTTCTCGCTGTGGAACATTAGTGCTTCTCGCTTCTCACTTTCTCCCATTTCATGCAACACCTCATCCCAATACGGAACATATCCCAATTTCTCAATCTCCTCAATCAACTCCGCTAACTTTCCATATATCTCCTTTGTTCTCTCATGTCTTCGATCCCCAGCCAAAAACACGTGAACCTTTCCTTGTACTTCGATCCAACTACGCCCCCCTTCCTTCCTCACTCTTCTATCCTTCATCATCTTCCTTATTTCCTTCACTTCATTCCACCTCCCTGCACCGGCAAAGACATTCGCAACAATCACATAAGCAGAGTCATCATGTGGGTCAAATCCCAATAACCGCTTTGACATTGTCCAAGCCATGTCCACATTACCATGTTGTGCACAACCTGATAACAATGCACGCCAGACTGCTGCATCCGGCGCAAATGGCATTGTCATTGCAATCTTTTCAGCTTCCTCCAATCGCCCTGCTCGACCCATTGCTCCCACTAAACATGTATAATGCTCGAGCAACGGCTCTAACCCATAATCAAATCTCATCCTGCTCAACCACTGTTCAGTCTCCCCAACCAAACCCGCATTGTAAAAAGCTGAAAGAATTGCAAGAAAGCTATATTCATCCGGGACAAGCCCTCTAGCCTCCATCGAACCAAAAAGCTCCATCACCGAATTCCAATCCCCTTGCTGTGCATAACTCGCCATCATTGCATTCCACCCGATAATATTCATCTCCGACACAAGCTCATCAAACACCCCATGAGCGTCCGATACCAAACCACACTTTCCATACCCATCAACCAATGCAGTCCCCACAACCATACCCATATCGAGCCCAGTAACAACCGCGTGCCCGTGAATTATCCTACATTGCTCCAAAGCAGCAAGCTCCGCCGCAGCACGGAGCGCTCCCGATACACTATACATAGTAGATCCAATCCCACAACTTCTCATGTTAGCAAAGCAAGATAAAGCCTCAAACGACCACGAATTTTGCGCTAACCCAACAATTATAGACCCGTAACAAACTTGGTCTCTGTGAGGAATTTCGTCGAACACTTTACTAGCATCATCTGGAAGTCGGGTTTTGGAATAGAAATTGATAAGCGAAGAGGCGGTGAAGGGTTGGGAAGATAGAGAGAGCTTGAGAGAGAGAGTGTGGAGTTGGAGGCCGAAGGAGAGAGAAGGGAGGGAAGAGCAGGACTTGAAGAGGGTGGCTAGAGTGCGGTGGTTAGGGAGCGTGGGGTGGCGGAGCATGGAGACGAAGTAGCGGAGAGAGAGGAAGGAGTTGGAGAGGGCGGAGATGAGGGCGGTCCAGGAGACGATGTTGGGGGAGGGGATGTGGTGGAAGAGGAGGAGGGAGGACGAGAGGAACCTTGATTTGGAGTAGAGGGTGATGAGGCTGTTGAGGGTGGAGCGGTCTGTGGTGCCGGTCTTGATGGCGGCGGCGTGGAGGCTGCGTGGGTCGGTGGCGGGTGGTGGTGGAGATGGGTCCGCCGCCGAGGACCACCTCATCATCACGGTGGAGCTTTTCTGAGAGTTGCATATGATATGAAGGCCAACACGTCTTTTATTGGCAAAAATATATATTAACGCCTCGTTTGTCGTGATTTAAAAAAGTCAAAAAATTAAAAAGATATTATCTTATTTCAGTCAGATCATCTTATTTAAGTCATATTATTTCTCTACTACATTACTTCAAACTCAACTCATACTCAACCCATATTTCATAAAAAGTAAAAAAATGTACTTATTTAGATCATCTCAAATCACCTCATTTTACATAATAAACATGGTAAAACACTAATAAATTCTCATTAGTGATTTTATCAATTGTTTAATATTTTATTTTATTTTATTTTATCTTATGAATTCAAGGTTCTATTGTAGAAAAAATTATACAAAAAGATAATCATAAAACACTTGTATTTATTGTGTTGAGTGAGAAATGTGAGTTTTGTCATTAAGATGGAGTTACACATTTATACAATCCGTACTATAGGCTTTTTTGCTTTACCCTCATTGATGAGCAAATCCCACACTACTAATATAGAAAGATTCTCAACCCCACGGCGACATTGTTGAATTTTCTTATGAATTTAGTAAAATCATAAATTGGAGAGAGGAATTTTCGCTCTTAATCTCTGGTTTAACATTCAAATCTTAGGTACAAACCCTACATTCTCAGTCCAACAATCACAGTGATGCAAATATTGTTCAAACATCTATGAAACATGTTATTGTCGGTTGAAACCACCGATTCACGCTCAACATTAGGGGTGCAACTCGGGCGGGTTCAACCCGAGAAACCCGAGCCCAGCCCGAGTTTTTTTAGGGTTTGGGCAACTATATCTTATAATCTGGACGGGCTTGGGCAGATTTTTGATGTCCGAATTGCAATTCGGGCCGGGCTTGGGCAGAACCAATGGCCAACCCGAACAACCCGAACCCGAATTCAATTTAATATATTATATAATATATAATATATAATATATATATACTCAACATTGGGGATACACACCTATACATCGTCGAAACGTGAAATTGGGCAAACATAACCAGACGCAGAATTCAAGCAGTGGCCATCAGTGTTGGTGTTGAAGATTCATGACAATGAAATGGGAACATATGTAATGTGTGATTTTAGTAGCATAATGTGAATGTCATGTTAGGATTGGTGTGTGCCTATTAGAATGTTGTATGTTTTCCGTTTGCATGCGTGCAATTTTTGTTTTGATGTTTAAGGTATTCGTTTGTCCCTTGATTGTTGTTAATGTGGCCGATGTTGTGGGGTTGATGTAATGTTTATTTTCTCTATTTGAGTGTTAATACGTATTTAGGTCATCAATGATTGTCGTAATATTGGTGTTAATGTGACAATTTTACACGATTCATTTTATTTTGCTCGCGTCAATGTGACACCTAATATTATGCCATTTGTTTTATTTCGTACTAGGTTTGAATTTAATTTGTAATAGGTCACACAAATTTACATTATCCTTGTTACAATGGCATGTTGGGTATATTGGTTGGGTATTGGTAATTCGAAGATAATGCCGGTGTTTGTACTAAAGATTTGATTATGATCCGTAATGTGGGTAAGAAGGCAGTGGGTTGTTCATGGTTCGAATAATATGAATGTGGGTAACATTTGTTTAATGTGGCTATGCTTGAACATGTTGTTTGGTTTGTAAATATGCAAGTTCATGTGTGTAATTTAATTTTGTGAGTTTGTTGTGATGGGGCTGTTTGTGTTTTCATGGTGGGTTGTAGAATTCCGCATTGACATGTTGCGATGACGTGATGGGTTCGTCTCTGTGATGTTGTTTTGGAGATGTCAGGGGTTTGGAAATTACAGTGTGCAATGTGCACAATGTGGGACAGTGGATAAATGTGATTGAGTGCCTAAGTTGGTGGGTTATATTTTGGTGAGGCTTCTAATTGTTAGATATGATCATAGTGTGAACATATACATGCAAGTGGATTCCAATATTTTGAAGTCAGATTTATCAGCATGTATCATTAGCTACTATGTTGCTTATATCGTGTTAATGTGGACCTATACATATCAGTACATTCATTACCTTTGCTGTAGATGTTTATATTGTTTAAATTTACACAGTACTGAAAAGATTATATAATTCCTATTTTCGGTTTGATGTAAGTTTCATATTATTTAAGTTCTACATTGACATTGATAGTAGTTAATACATCGAAATCCAATAAGATAACCGTCCAACACAATCTGAAATCATTCCAATTTCAAATCTCCCAAAAAGTATATTGTAAATCATACCTTTTCAGTATAAAGAAAAAAAATAGATGCCCGCACTATTACCAAAGGGCATAACTGTAACATTACATGCCAATAAATATGTCAAAACAATCTTACTAAAATGAATAAGAGTAAATGGTCTACAAGAAAATTCTTGAGACTAAATGGATAACCATTTTTCCATATGAGATTTATTGATAAATTTTCTTAATAAAAAATATTTTTTATTTATACTGTCAATTAATAGTTTTTAGGGAAAACTACTAAAAAAAAATCCTCAAAATTCGATCCTTCTAACAAAATAAATCTCAAAATTTTAATTTTATTAATTTGAAGTTTAATTTGTATTTAATTTAAACCGTTCGTCTATTTTTGTTACGTAAAACTAGTTTAAAAATAAAACTTTAGTTATTAAACTCAATGTAGATATACATAAAATATCTAAAATACCCTTTTTATTGAGTTTAATATCTAAAATACCTATTTTCTATCAATTTTACTTAAAAAAAATAGGCAAATGATTTATATTGAAAACAAATAAAAAATTTAGAATATAAATTGGCAAAATTAAAATTTTGGGGTTTATTTTGTTACAATGGTCAAACCCTAATAAGTTTTTTTTTTTAAATATTTAATGATATCAATAATATATTTTAATTAATAATTTTGATAATTTCATTGTTATATGGAAAGATAATTATAAATTTTATTTTTTCTATCAATTCTATTAAATGACAAATTATGACAAAAATATTTGTAATTTTTTAAATCATATGACAATGTGTTTTAAGCAAATAGCAAGGGATATATTTATAATGAATGTTGCTATTAGCACCCCATCAATTATTTTAGATCCTTCATTTTTTAGTTTTTTTTCAAAAATTTTTTTATTACAATAATAACCTCAAATAAAATTACTAAAAAGGATATCAATAATTTGGGACAACCCATCTCACAATGAAGCTCATATACCTACTACATTATGTGTTAAGATTTATGAGAGCATCCACCTCCATCACCACCCATCAATCTTTTTCCAAATCCCACCTTCAAAACCTATCCACCCTCAAAACCTTAAAAACCCTTTGGCGACAATATTTCGACAGTAACAGTGACAACCATTTGATTACCAATACTTCTCCGGCAATGACAATGAGTGGAAGTTTTTCCAGCAAATACAACTCCACGAGACGAGAGGAGTATAACAATAAAAGCTTAAAGGAGATCCATAGCTTTAATGGTGTTCTTAGATCAGAGGAGATTGGCCTTGTAAGAGTAAGTTTTTTGAAAAAAAATGGCAAATATAATAAAAAATGTTCATTATTTTTTTCGAGGCTGAACTCCTGAACATATGATCGAAATTCGAAAATACATGTTCGAACATTGTTTATTTGTTTAGGAACAGGTAACCGAGCGTAGTATAGTTTTCCATCTTCATTGAAGATGTCCTCTTATTTTAAAATAAAAAATTAATTAATGAACTTTTTTCAAACTTTAAAATCACAAAACTCAAGTAAGATAAGGAACAAGGAAAATTCAAAGAAACCCACCTAAGAGATCACAAATCCAAACTTGTGGAGATTACAGAATCCACAAAAGGGAAATTTTGAATCAACAACAAAAAACTCTACATTTATTTTCTCAAGTCATGAGCAAGTATGTGGAGATGAAGTAATAATCACCTTCGTGAGTTTTGTAAGGATTTTTGGGAGAGAGGATTTTTAGGGTGTGGAGGTGTGTACTTAATTGAATGAGTGAAATGTTTTCACAATGATAATTTGGTATTATTTGGGGGGGATAAAAGAAATTTTAAGAGTTTTAGAATTTATGAGTGGGGGGATCCAAAATAATTGATGGGATGCTAACAACAGCACTCTTTATAATTTGCCATTATTTTAGTGGGGGGATCCAAAATAATTGATGGGATCCAAAACACTTGTCTATTTTGGTGGTCATCTTATCGATCGCGGCTATCATCCTTTTTGCTAGACGACTGGGTGAAACACTTGTCTACCGTGATTGTCACCTTGTCGACTGCGGCTGTCAACCTTTTTGCCGGACGACTGGCAAAATAAAATTCAAGCCATTCAAGGCAAGCTTAAATTCAAGGTACGTAGCATTGCTCATAATCAAAATGGCCAAAATTGAAGAAATATCATTTTGCCTCCCGAACTATCATGCGTTTTTCAATTTGATCCCTATACTTCGATTTATTCCAATTTAGTACCTAAACTTTCAACAAATTAATCAATTTAACCCCTGTCGTCACATTCCGTCTACAATTGGACAAAATGTGCTGACGTGGCACCAAAGTTCATTTAGTGTCATTTTACCCCCCAAACTATACCTTAAAAATTAATTTGCCCCCAAATATAAAAAAAAATTAAATTTAAATATTTAATAAATATTTTTTTTATCTCAATAATGAAAAAATTAAATTTTAGATAATATATACTTTGTAAAAAAATAAAAAATAAAATATAAAAGTTCTCATTTAGAATTATCTTGAGACTATGAAGCATAGATACTTCGACAAACATGTTATACCTGTACCGGTTACTTATTGAATTTTGAAATTTTTTTCCCACTAAATTTTGAAATTACTATTAGTCGATCAATTCTGTTGAAATTAATGTGGGTAATAAACTAGTTACAATTGCACGCGCGCGAGCGCACACACAAAGAATAGTCAAGAAATTTTCGGTTCAATAAGTTTCTCTAGAATCAACTCGAGATAATTTGAGACTTATGAAGCACAAGTGTGGGTATGAGTATTGGTATTGGTACGATATGAGTACATCAACATGGTAAAATCTTAAAAAAGTAGGGTACGAGTATGAGTATGGTTTAATACATTTGTAAAAAAATATTTATTTTTAATTTGAAATAATACAAAAATTGGTTAAATGGTTTAATTCGTTAAATCCAACATACAATTGACATTTAATGCCAAAAGCATAGGTATAAGATAAAATTAATTTTGTCTTTATTAAGCAAAATTATAATAAAGTTATTTGTATTTTTGCCAATGACCTTAATGTCCCTCAAATTCGATTTATTTCGGACAATTCTAATATTTATGCAGAAGTTGCATAATAAAGGTAAAATATGGATTGCTTTCTATGAAAAAGAGGAATGCAAATAGCATGATGCTAAACCACTCCGTCTGCAGCTGGTAATTACCCATTGTGTAGTCACACAGGGGGGTGAGTGTTGGTTTGGTGAGTTGCATAAGTGCCATTGATGGTAGCGGCGACGGCTAAAGGTGAGGAAGGGTTAGGGTTAACGCTAGAGGTCAGGAAAGGGGTTGGAAAGGAGTGGCTAGAGCTAAGAAGAGGATGACCAGAGTAGGGGGTTGGCTGGTGGCTGCTGGAGTTAGGATTTTAGCGAGGAAGTTTTATTTTGCCCTTTAAATTATCACGCGTTTTTCAATTTGACTCCCATACTTTGATTTATTTCAATTTAGTATCTGAATTTTTAACAAATTAATCCATTTAACTCTTGTTTTCTCATTCCGTCTATAATTGAACGGAATGTGTTGACGTGACATCAAAATTCATTTAGAATTTCATTTTACCCTCAAACTATACCTTAAAAATCAATTTGCCCCCCAAATATTAAAAAAAATTAAATTTAAATATTTAATAAATATTTTTTATCTCAATAATGAAAAAATTAAAATTTAAATAATATATACTTTGCAAAAAATAATAATAATAAAATATAAAAGTTCTCATTTAGAATTATCTTGAGACTATGAAGCATAGATACTTCGACAAACATGTTATACCTGTACCGGTTACTTACTGAATTTTGAAATTTTTTTCCCACTAAATTTTGAAATTACTATTTGTCGATCAATTCTGTTGAAATTAATTTGGATAATAAACTAGTTACAATTGCATGCGCGCAAGCGCACACACAAAGAGTAGTCAAGAAATTTTCGGCTCAATAAGTTTCTCTAGGATCAACTCGAGATAATTTGAGGCCTATGAAGCACAAGTGTGGGTATGAGTATTGGTATTGGTACGATATGAGTACATCAACATGGTAAAATCTTAAAAAAGTAGAGTACGAGTACGAGTATGAGTATGGTTTAATACGTTTGTAAAAAAATATTTATTTTTAATTTGAAATAATACAAAAATTGGTTAAATGGTTTAATTCGTTAAATCCAACATACAATTAACATTTAATGCCAAAAGCATAGGTATAAGATAAAATTAAATATTATTATATTAATTCGTTAAATAACTTATAAACCATAACTTAATTTTAAAACCATGCTAAGCACAAAACTAAAAATGAAAAAGAAGTTTAGTAAAAAGAATTTTATCTTTGTAGTAGAAGAAAAATATTATTTTCGATTGAGGTACAGCACAGCTTGAATATATATATTAGATATATCTGGGCAGGCCAAAAATTAAGAAAGAAAAATTTTAGTACATATTTGGTAGACCGGGTATATATGCAGAAATATCATACATCGGTAAGTACTCGATACGGGTACAATATGTTTGTCGAGTTATCCATGCTTCATAGTCTCAAAATAATTCAAAATGAGAATTTTTATATTTTTTATTATTTTTTTGAAAAGTATATATTATTTAAAATATGAAATTTTCATTATTGAGATAAAAAATTATTTATTAAATATTTAAATTTAATTTTTTTATATTTGGGGGGACAAATTGATTTTTAAGGTATAGTTTGAGGGTAAAATGAAATTCCAAATGAATTTTGGTGTCACGTCAACACATTCCGTTCAATTATAGACGGAATGAGAAAGCAAGAGTTAAATGGATTAATTTGTTAAAAATTCAGATACTAAATTGAAATAAATCAAAGTATGGGAGTCAAATTGAAAAACGCGTGATAATTTAAAGGGCAAAATAAAACTTCCTCGCTAAAATCCTAACTCCAGCAGCCACCAGCCAACCCCCTACTCTGGTCATCCTCTTCTTAGCTCTAGCCACTCCTTTCCAACCCCTTTCCTGACCTCTAGCGTTAACCCTAACCCTTCCTCACCTTTAGCCGTCGCCGCTACCATCAATGGCACTTATGCAACTCACCAAACCAACACTCACCCCCCTGTGTGACTACACAATGGGTAATTACCAGCTGCAGACGGAGTGGTTTAGCATCATGCTATTTGCATTCCTCTTTTTCATAGAAAGCAATCCATATTTTACCTTTATTATGCAACTTCTGCATAAATATTAGAATTGTCCGAAATAAATCGAATTTGAGGGACATTAAGGTCATTGGCAAAAATACAAATAACTTTATTATAATTTTGCTTAATAAAGACAAAATATAAAGTGTTTTTAGTAAAATGTGGAGTGGAAATAATTCCACCCTAGACTGAAATGGTGAAAAAAAATTAAAAATAATAAAACATAGAGCAAAGAGCATCATTAATTTAAAATTAGCTGACCATGCTTTTTGACAAGAATCTGAGTAATGCACAACTTGGTAGATTACAAGCTGTTGGGTATCACAATATATTGCTCCTGTTTTAAAATGTTTTGATACAATAAATTTACAAAATTGTAGTATAACAATTTACAAATAGCTACACACAATTCACCAAAATTCATGCAGATTTAAATCTATAGCACTCATCATCTTCAATTCCAAACATATTACGATGAGCATTTCTCACATCAACTTTGTCGGAATGATGAGAAATGGAAGAAGCAGCAAGAGCAAGGTTCATATCTCTAAAATCTTTTCGAATTCCCCATAATACCTCACAGCATTGCTTCATAGAGGGTCTTGACGGTCTTTGAGGCGCAAGGCAATGTCGAGCAAGTTTGAGAATCTTCTCCACAACCATGAGTGATGCTGGGCTTCGTCGTAGTCTTGGATCCATTGCCACCACCGCAGCCCCTTCTTTGAGTCTTTGCAATGCCTGCATACACAGATGATATTTTATTTCTGTTGGCACGGTCACTTGATTGAAAGTGTCATCTGATTAAAATTTAACAGAAGTTGTATTGTTTTTGAAACATCTTTGATAGAATACCAAATGATGCATCTGGGATATGTACTGCCAGGATATGCCTGAATACACAGATGATATTTTTTGCTAAAATCTAGGATATGTACTGCCAGGATACGGCGTTTTTGTTATATATATATATATATTTATTTTTGACATATGTGAATATATATTTAGGACACATATATAAGAGGCATCGATGTATGTGTGGGTTTATTTATTTATTTCACTTTCCTCTCTCATTGTTTTCATATGTTCTACTTTGACTGTAAATCAATTTTCTAAAATTATAAAAAAGAAATTTACATAGTAAACAAAGGACACACGTGTGCATAAAATGTCCTCGAAGTGTTCTATAAAAAAATAAGAACTAAAAAAATTGGCACGCCATGTGGTGTGTCCGACACTTGGACACACGTGTCCCAGCATGTAAGGGCTTCATAGACTAAAACATATCTGTCTTATGAAGCATATCCTAGCATTTAGAAGAGAAAACATGCAAAAGGAAGATATTTAGGCAGTTGATAGCTATGTTGGTAGTTGATAAATGAAGAAGTAGATATGATATTGAATAGCATTATGACTGTAAGTAACAAATAAATTTAAATTTACACACAAGCTTTGGGTTTTTTCAGTTTTAAACTTAATTTCAAATAATAATAATAATAATAATAATAATTATGATGAAGAGCTATATAGTTAGGAACTGGTTTACTTCAGTACAGGGGTTACGACTAAAAGTTGCATTGCTGCATATCTGGCTTAGTAGCCATTCCTGGTAGTTATAGTTGTCAATCATCCGCGACAACTGTCCCTATGAAGGGGAAGTGTTACCATTTAATTATGGAAATTATAAAGATGTCATGTGGTGAATTTGTAATTTGCAACAATTGAGACAAGGCTAGTACGAAGAAAGCTGGAATGATGTGACTTAACTTATTAAAGCAGATTGGAAGTGGAAGATATTGATTTTCAGAGAGCTGAACACTCTTGACTCCCAATTTTTAACATTATAGACATGCCATGTGATGAATGTCTAATAAAAATAGGAAATAGAACTCTGACATGTTACAGCATAGATGTTCCATGTGAAGAATGTCTGCTAGAAATAGTAGCAGATACATTTATATGATCAAGAGTAGCTTTCTAGATTATAACTACTAGCATATACATTTATATGATCAAGAGTAGATTTTTAGAAGCGATTATCTAGTTTATGTAGATATGAAACAGTCTCGAAGGAAGAAATCAAACTCAACAAGCATTCCACATTTGAAGTTTCCACTTCATTGATGAGTATTAACCACACCGGCAAATCCCCAACACTAATCCAGCACTATTTTAAGATTACATTGTATATTTTTGTGAAAATCACGTTAGGATCATAACATCCAGATTTTCTTTTTGTATGTGTCCATTATTTAACAGGGGGCAACTAGTTCAGTGGTTAAAACTTGTCTTATCTACCTTGAGGTTGTGAGTTGGAACCTATGGATGGCCACTTTGTGCAAACTATGCTAAAAGTTAGGTTTGTCCTGATCTACCCCTCCGAGACCCCCATCTAATGGGAACTAAACCAGGTGTACTATTTTATGCTTCAATAATTTAGGGATTTGAGAACACCTTTGGAAGTGCCAACCATTTTATTGTCTCTGTTAGGAGTAGAAAGCAGTAATTAGCCTAGATTGAATAGAACAGTTATTTACTAATGCTAACATACAGTTCTTTTGGTAAAATTTCATGACTCAGGTTAAAAGAATTATAGAGGACACAATTTTTATTTTTTTTTGGATAAATATAGAGGACACAATTTCATGTGAATGGTTGGAAGGAACTCTCAAGCCAGGTTGCACGAAGTGGCTCAGCTACTAGTATAGATTGTCCCCACACATGCTGTCATTTATAGACATTTTAAGACGTCTTTTGTTGCCTATGAGACAGAGATTTGTGTTGAACTGTTGCTTTATTTTGACTGAGTCCTACAATTTTTTAAGGCTCATAATCACTTTCAATTTCTGACGTTTCTATTTCAAGCACTTTTATCCTAGTTCTCCTATATTTGTGCTGTCAAAATAGACAATACCTTCACAGCGTTTGTACATTGGCTCTTCCAAGTGTTTATAAATACCCTCTAGCCACTATAGATTTGCCTATGTATTAGTTATCGGGATAATTATTTTACTTATAATACAAAAATGCATAATAAACACAATATCAAGAGACAAAACCTTAAAAAATGTTGAGAGAACTAATTTGCATGATTTATGTGAACATTAGGGCCAAAGGTGAGCTATTTTGTCACCAACGACATGGATAGTCTCCTGACAGATTAACATCAGACTCCCAGTTACCTACGACTTGGTATTCAAGAAGAAGTTGCATATTAATTATGGGAATATTAATGATAGATAGAAGGGTATCTATGTATATCCTTTCAGTGAATTTTTTTTTATAAAATAATGTAACTTATGGATTAATCAAGATTAATTGAGCATTTACACAGCAAACAGAGCTATTTATGCTACACTAATATTTATTGTTTATGTACTTGGAAAGTGAGGTGCAACCTGTTTCTGCCTTGTTCCCTATTCAACTCAGCTCTTTATAGAAAGGCATTTTTATTGAGAATGCCTAAAAACACATTCCATTGGCTACTAGTTTTATGTTTTTGTTGCATTACTGAGATTCCTGAAATGCTTACCCATTTTGCCGTTACTCTTTCTTTAAGTGGTCTCGTTGGCTCGAGGGGATACCGTCCTGTAATCAGTTCTACAAGCACTATACCAAAGGAATAAACATCGCTCTTTTCAGTAAGTTGATACGTCTTAATGTATTCAGGATCCAAGTAGCCAACTGTTCCTTTGACTTGGGTCGAAATGTGAGTTGCTCCTGGATCTTCAACAGCTAATCGTGCAAATCCAAAGTCAGCTACTTTGGCTCGGAGTTTCTCTGTGATGAGGATGTTTGATGCTTTTATGTCTCTGTGAATTATTGGAAGATCTGTAACATAACTGATCAAAACTCAGCATTTTCAATGTTTTTTTGTTTTTCCTTTAGTTTGATCATCTTAATGAAAAGGATAACTTTTTTTTTTTTTTTCCATATTAGCAGTAATTGATTCAAAAAAGTGTGCCATACCCATGTACATGTGCAGATATGTAACTGCGTGAGCTACATCAATTGCAATGTCCAGACGTTCTGAAATTTCAAGCTCATTTCCTCGTGTACCTGCATCAAAAAATTACTATCCCAATCTTAACTTTCCCAAATGAACTTTTGAGCAAATACCTTGAGCCTGTGCTCTATATGCTAATCTTAAAAATGTTCAGTGATTTTAATTTTTTTTTACTGGAGAAAGTTTGATCTTCTATATAAGAATGATTCTGACACATGGATTCAAGTCAACAATTCTGAGAATAGGAATTGAAAACAATAAAAGAAATAAATCTTCTTCCTCTCTCTCACTAGAAATCTAACATTTGCAGGGTTTTGTCTAACATTTTATGGAGAAAGGAAAGACAATTTAGTTCTAAATGTTCTTGATGATTATCTAATTTAGTCAGATATGTAGAGCTCTTGTACCATATGGAACTAGAGAAGCTCAGTCAGAAATCTATATATATTTTTGGCAACTGAGCTGGCAATTTTGTATACTGTAACGGTACTGATAGTTATACAGTTATACTTTATTTCCTAATTTATACTGACAAATACAATCACATATTCAAATGTTGGTAAATGTGTTGCTCGACTTACCATCTAAATGCTCCCGAAGTGTCCCATTGGCAATATATTCAACTACAATAATCCGTTCATCCCCATGCTCCAGATATCCAAACAACCTCACTAAATTTAGATGTTCAATCTTCGATAAGGTAAGAATTTCATTCTTAAACTCTGTGAATGAGCGTTTCTCATGCATATCCTGCTTCAAAAGTTTATAGTTAATAGGCATACTGATGGTCAATTACCCTACAAATATGGCCTAGTTCTACAGTACTGTGAATTATAGAACTCGGATGACCTAAGTTGTCCTGAACTTTTATATTTTTGTTCGCAATCACATCCAACTGATGTGAAGTTTAGGCAATGACCACTAAATAGTGCCTGCTACCACAATGGCTAAATTGGGTCATGCCAACGACAAGGAAAATGCCAAAATAAATAGGGAGTCCTGAGGCACTTTTCACACACATTCTCAAGCATTTTTATTTATTTTCAAGCACTTATCACACATTTTAAAGTAATTTTCTTGTGCCCATTGAGACTAATGTTTAGTATTTTCAAGACTGTGTACCTTCTTAGCGCGCTTTATGGCAACAAAAGATCCATCCTTCAATTTTCCTTTGTACACTGTTCCAAAGCCTCCCTCGCCGAGTTTATTTGCTGTGGAGAAATTATCTGTTGCCTTGTAAATTTCCTCAATGGAAAAGGCAACAGTGCCAACCTGTCCATTTGAGGCAACTGATGAACCACTGGAATCAGAAAACTTGGATCTCGTCTGACTCCTGCTGCTTCCTGTAGAATTATCTATTGAAGCTGCAGGTCACAGGCAAGAATGCATTGGGAAGTTAGCCAAAAAGCCACTAAAAAGGCCAAAAAATCATACAAAAAAATCAAAGATACCTTCCTATTCTCTCTACGTTTTGCACAATTTTTTTGCCTTTAAAGCCATTTTCAAACACTTGAGTTACTTTCACCTCATATTTTAGCCAAAAATTCCAAATGGGATTTGAGTATTGTTCCATACTTCCCCACCAGAACAAATTAATTGAAATTACTACACACACACGACTTGAATACAGATCCAATCTTTTTGAACTATTAAAAATATGATAAACAGTTCAATTTCATGCCTCAGCAACGTCCAATCACTCTCTCTACTTATTAAACATTTTTTTTTTTTTTTGTAAAAAGTCAATAAAAAAAATCTATTAAGCTTGCCAGGTTTAACATGGCTATTGGCGTGTGGATGTGGTTGAATAAATTAATTAAAAAAAAAAAAAAAAAAAAAAAAAAAAATAAAAAAACGAAGCAGATTGTGCAAATGATGCTAGTTCACCAAGTTCATTGACAAATTGAGATGAATCAACAAAACTCACAGTTAATTCCCATTACAGCATCGGATCTAGGTTCCTTAGAGCTGGACTTTCTTTGGCAGAGCAGAATCGCAGCAACTTTGTTGACCACAGCTTTCAAGTAACTCAACGCAGATCGATGACTCTTGTTCTTCTTCTTCTCATGATCACGATCACGATCATCATGGTTCGTGTTGTTTCGCTTGGGTTCGCTGGGGCCAACATCGTTAATCCTCATTTGCAGAGCAACTTGGAGTATGGTGGGGGTTCCGCGTATTTAATAGTGGGGCTGAGGGGGCGTTGTACAAGAAAAAGACGCGTTCAAATTCCAAACCGTTTTGTTTTGATGTTTGAATATTAAAAATTGAGACTTTTAATTTAAATTTTTTGGATTGATTGAGGGTCCCCCACATGGCTAATGGCCGAGGATAGCTGGACTTATTCGATAGGTTAAAAGTCCATTGGACGACCGAATATTGTTGGTAGGCAGGGAGGCCTGTTTGGTAAAGTGATTAAAATTTATAATTTAATAATTTATATTTTATAATTATAAATATTAGTTGATTTTTGATTTATAAATTAAGTTTTTTTTTTATTTAAAAATAAGTTGATTTTTGACTTATAAAAAATTATAAGTTGTATTGTTAAGTTAAACTAAACATATCAAAATAGCTTAAATTAAGTTAAAAACTGAAATAAGCTGGAAATAAGTTTTACCAAACAGAGCCTCTGTCCTAAAAGAATAATATTAGGAATTATGAAAAAAATATCATAAAATGTATTATAAAGATTTTTTATCTTTTAATTAGCGTGTGCTGTTTTATTATATATATAATTTAAAAATAAAAGATCTTTCATAATTATTTTTATGATATTTTTTTTTATAATCCCTAACATTACTGGACTTAAAAAAGAGCGTAATAACAGGGATTGGGTGCATGTCGGCTCTGTTGTGAGGGACAATAGGGAATAATGTTTTTAGGGGGAGGGTGTTGTTACAGTACTTTATTGTGATGGTTTAATTGAGTTTTGTATCGTTTTTATTTTTATAATTTGAATCTTTTATATTATAAAATTTAGAAAAATGTTTGGGACCTCTAATTAGAGGTACCATTAGTGATGTGGCAGTGGGTCCCACCCACTGCCACATCAGTGCTGTGTCTTGGTTTTTTTTTTTTTTTTTTTTTTCCACTTCATTAGAGGTGTGTTTAGAGCCTCTAAATTAGAGGTCTCTAGCATTGCGCTTGTTTTAAAAAATTTGTCACAATTATGCTAATCATTTAATTTTTTTTAAACGTAAATGTGGTCTTATTATAGGTTATAAATGTCTAATTAATTAGATTTTTTTCATTAATAATTTATTTGATAAACCTTATAATATTAACGGTTTAAATAATCAAAATATGTTCGAAAAATATCCCCCCACGAACTCACAACACGGTGCTCCTCCCAAGTTCTCTGTTGTGAGGGGTGGTTTGTCAACAATATAAATAATTAGCTAATAGCCTATTTATTTATTTGTTGAAAGTTATTATGTTATCTCTCTATTTTTCATTTTTGTATATTTTTTCTTGTTAAAAAAACAAAAAACCTTTTAATTTTATTTGACAAATCTCTTTATTTTCTTTTTGTCTCATAAATTCAAAATCTAAGCAAACATAATACTATGAGAATTTGCTAAGTTTTACTTAAATTTTTACTGTGTTTGAATTTTGAATATGAAAAGAAATTTGTATAGGGAAAAAGAAACAAAAGGAAAAAAATTAGAAAAAAAAATGAAAGAGATTTTCCCGCCTTTTTGGAGTCGGATTAGAACAATGGGAAGAAATGATTAAATATTTGGGCAATGATTGTGGCCACAAATTCTGCGGATCAAATGGCCCGAAAATGTCAAAACGACGTTATTTTGACATTTTCAAAGTTGTTTTGTACCCAAAACGACGTCGTTTTCTTTTGTTTTTTTTGTGTGTTTAATTAGTCATAAATAATTCATTTCCCATTCTCCCCTCATTGTTATGGCCCGAGTTCTACTAGTTGATCCGTCTACCTATTTCCATCCATGCTGATTTTTACGCATAGGATAATTTCTATTTTGCCGATTCAAACACGTGTGGCTATTAGGAATAGCAACGGGTGGCACGAGGTTAAGGATTACACTTTTCATTTTTTATTTTGGAAGGTTTAAAATTTTTCGTCCCGCCCCCGATTCCCAGCGGAGGATCCATTACCCCCCACCCCTGCTCCCTAATCCCTAACGGAATCAGGTTTTTTTTTTTCCGAAAAATTTTCGATCTTTTTTTATTTTTAATTTTTAATTTTGCATATTCTATTTTTTTTGAAGTAAATAAAAATAATATATATAAAAGCATAATTCAACAACGTCCAAACATAGAGCTTTTTTTTTAATATTTAAAAAAAAAATTAGAGAATTGACTAACTTTTTAAATTATTTGGGAAACTAACCTGTTTTTTGAAATCGCATTTTGAAAATACGATTTTGAAATTAAAACTGTCTTTTCAACATATAATTCCACCTCGAAATCGCATGTTAAAAATGTAATTTCAAAAAGTGAAATTCATGCCATCATAAATTGTATTTTCAACATGCGATTTCAAGGTGAAATTGTATTTCAAGGTGAAATTGTATTTCAATTTAAAGTTGCATTTTTAAAATTCGATTTTAAAAAGCAGGTTAATTTCTTAAATAATTTAGAAAGTGGGTCAATTTTCTAGATTATTTTTTTTTTTAGAATATTTAAAAAAAAAAAAAAAAACTCGAACAATGATAGCTAGAGTCGACAAGTGTTTAGAGCCCAGATAAAAATACTAAGAAAATCACAAAAAAAAAAAAAAAAAAAAAAACCCAGCATCCAAACAATACCTGTTTTTTGCTTCTTTTTTTTTTAAAATAAAAAAAATACCACTTGTGAATTTTGCAAAGTAGCATGCACAACCAACATTATTAGGGGTTGGTTTGGGAAGTGGGTTAACTTTTTGAATTTTTTGGTTATTTTAGCCTGGGCTAAAAAGCATTTGGGAAGGGCTTTTTGGTTTTTTTGCTTTTTTGACTTTTTTTGTGAGAGAAGAGTGTGATGATTATGGGTTGGATGTGATGTTTTGTTTGTTGTGGCTAAAATAGCCTATTTTGTCTTTTGTGGCTAAAATAGCCAAAAAAGCCCATAAAATCCCTTCCCAAACGGTGCCTAGTTAAGTTAACTTCTAAAATCAATAGGCATATCTCAAAGATATTCCATGGGTCCATTCCCTCAAAATAATCCATGCAACATAATATCTCGATTCTCAAATGTCCAACCAAACAAAAATAAAAATAAAAATAGTACCATTAGTCTATTACAACATAGAACAATAATTGTTCAAATAAAACATATAACATCAATATCACAATAATAAAACAACATTGTTTCCCTAAAAATCTGATAATTCTAGATATGTCCTTAGAGAAACACATATATATAGAGGGGTATAATAGTAATTTCAGTTTGGAGCGGAAATGGGGACAAGGACGGGCTGGGGCTGGGGCTAGGGCTAGAGCAGGGGAACCTATCATCGTTCCCGACCCGAAAATTATCGAAAATTCATTTTCGAATACCATTCTCGGCCCATTGAATATATTTTTCGAAAAGAAATCATTCTAATCGAAGTTAGAGGCCGGATTTCCGTCGAATCAGGTTCAAATTGCCATCTCTAATGGCTCTCATTATGAAAACCGACTTCAAGAAGATACTGTTTGGCCTCTCTCAAAAAAGTGTATTTTTTTATTTTTTCAAGTCACATCATTTTTTATTTTATTTTATTTTGTTATAATTTTCTTTTATAAAAAAGTCAAAAAATATATAAATTTAGATTATTTCAAATACCCTCCAATATTTAAAAAAAAAGAAGCACTATAGGGTCTTTTTTGAGAATTTTAGTAATTTTTTTGATTAAAATATGAGATGAATTTTTTTTTTTAGTATGTTTGGAATATAATTTTTTGATTTTTTATGAAAAAAAATGTATAAAAAATAGAAAAAAATGAAAAATTTGACTTTTTATATAATTTTTTGATTTTTTAGTGATTTTTTTTATTACTATTTGATGTTGCCAAACTTACTATAAGGCTATTTTGGGAGCAAGGTTAAAAGTCAGTTTATTGACTTTTTGATTTTTTTGAATCACATCACCTCTCTACTTTTTTGTTTGTTTTTTTCAAAAAAAAAATTAAAAAAAAAGTTCAAAAAATTAACTTTTAACTTTACTTTCCAAAATAGGCGTATCTCTGTGCTTTTATCAAAATTTCATTATAGTCCTTTCATTTTCAATTGTACTAGTCAACTTTTACATTTTAAATCAAATTTTAATCTCATTAATTTATCCATCTATTGTTAATAAATCTAATGAAAATTGAAAGTAGAAAGATAAAAGTAATATTTTGGTAAAACTGTAAAGATAGTAATGAGATAACAAAAATATCATATATGCTTCAAATGACATGTTCCGTTAACTTTGTTAAGGTAAATTAATAGAAAGGTGAGATTATAACTTGATTTAAAATGTAAAGAAATATGTTACTTTAGTAACTTTCTTTTTTTTTTTTTTAGCTAAAATATGAGATAAAAAAATTAATTTGTATGAGATGGGATAACTTTTTTGATTTTTCAAGAAAAAAAATACACAAAAACTATAAAAAAAATTTCTGACTTTTTTCTATAATTATTTATTTTTTGAATTTTTTAAATGACTTCTTGACTTTTAAGCTACAAGTAGAGTTGCCCAACGAGACCTAATTATAAGTAATCCTTAAAATTATGATGATTTAAAAACTCAATTTTAAATTTTTTTATAATAAATTAGTTAAAATTGTGTTGGTTGAAAATATAACTTCAACTTTAAAATCGTGATTTGAAAATATATCTTTGGAAGATAAATTTAAAACTTTGAATTAAAAAACAAAAAAGAAAATATTCTCAAAATAACTTGTGTTCGATTACTGTTGTGAAGCTTGGGATTAATACCTAGCAAATACCCCGACATAACAACCTGATTTTATTTATTTTATAATAAGTTTTAATAAGTTTGTTTCCCTGAGGGTATAATCTTAAAGCAACCTCTAGATTGAGAGTTGTGTGGATCTCTTGCACGAACCTGAAAAACCTAATAAACCTGAAAAGTTGGCTTATGTAGATCTCCTAATAAATCTGAAAAGTTTATCACACTCTTTTAACTTTTCAAAGTACAAGTCCTCAAGCATGGAATTTCTAATTTTAAACTTACAAGCAACAGATAAGTTTAGACAAACAAGACAGATAAGTTTAGACAAACAAGACCAAGTCTTGTTGAGTAAATGCAACTATGGGAAGATTGCTAAAAGCACCTTTGTTTCGACGAGTAAATAACAAGCTAGGGGGAAGAAGACAACATCAGAGAAAACAAGAACAGAAAAGAACAAGACCCTACCACAAAAGAAACAAACAGAGAGAAAATAACAAACACAACACATTAGCAATATTAAGTGATACACCACACTAGAAAACCACAAATGAAACAAATAAACAAACAAACAAACAAACACACACAAGACATCAACATTCTGTAAGGAATTGATATGCCTAAATAGGATCAATAAGACATGAAACACAAACAGAAATCAAACAAGCATCTAATCGACCAGACAAGAATACAAAGATTTACGTGATTTATCATAGAATATGAGTACATCCATCATTGTTGCGGTTTCACTCTCTGAAAAAGAAGTACAATACAACACAGAGATGCAGCACTTCAACATATCCAACTCCATAGCCTTCCTAACTTCAAGGGGAATCTCTGTGCACCAGAGAGGGAACCTGAGGAGTTGATCCTAGAAGCCCAAGCAGCCATCTCATGCACAGCTCACAGCACAGTTCACTTGCCAAGGATTATAAACAATTGCCCAACTGACTCAACTACGCTGGACTTTGGGGCTAACAGAATCATACACTAAATCCTCATTTACTTAAAACTGAATTCGACTGCTATTCTTTAGAACCATGATTTTTTTTTTTTTGTTTGCAAGTTAATCTTCAAAGTTGAAACAGTTTTGCAAAATTTTGAAAAAAAAAAAAAAAAAAGTGGTTTTTATTCAAATGATTTTATAGGTTAACCCCAACCCAGTTAAACCAGTAAAACTGGCTGGTTCAATATGGTCTTTGAAACATTGATAGTTTCACATCATCCAACAACAATCTAGTATACAAGGCAATTAGAATAGTCTTAAAACACAAATTTAGGTTTTGATATCTTGTTACAGTATATTATGACCATGGGATTTATAACATATTATGACATTTACAAAACTAGCCTTTTATATTCAAGTAGCAAGAGAAAAATAATCACCCCTGTAGATGATCTAACCTATTTCATCAAAATTGACTCTCTCTCCCGTAGAATATAAGTTCCAGAATAGAGCAGCAGAAAAATACATAAGGGACGTTAACAACAAAAATCCCTGGAAAGAACCCACTAATTCAACAAAAAAACCGGCTCCAACTGTACCCAAAATAGCAGCAAATGTCCCAGCAGTATTCGACATACCTAGAACAAATTCAAAGTGGATATGATTAGCTCATTAAAAAGTCTTTATATCAGGAAAGATGTCTGTTTGCAGCTATTGTACTCCCTTTTTTTTTTTTTTTTTGGAAATACAACTTTACGAATCAGTTCTGAAAATAATCACAATTTGGATTCGTTTTTATGCTAATTGTTTATTTATGTTTTTAACACAATTAATGCAACTCCTGTGTATTTCCCATTGAATTTTAAAACGGGAATCCGAACCACCCTTTAGGCATCCTATCCCGAAACAATCATGTATAAAATAGTCTTCACATTCTTAATCCAGGGGGAAGGGAAAGATAAATTCAAGCCCTTCCACCATATATATAAATACACATACATGTCAAAGAGCAAGTCAACAGTGATTAAACATATTCTGATGAGAATCGAAATATGCTGAACAGCCAAAGAACAAAGCAAGATTAGGTGCGTCACTTTGTAAGAGCTACTTTATTAGGATGTAAGGAAAGGCAAGTAGAATCTAGTGGTAGGCCTAATTCAATGACAACGATCTTCTCAGAACACTAGCGAAAGGAGCGAAAGGAGTTGAGACAGAATAGCTACACTTGGGCTATTGTTAATACTTATTACACAAGCATAATTTTTTATTCTGCATATTCCCCCTTAATTTTATATACCTTCAATAGATTGAGTCAAATCAACTTCATCAAATTGACAGAGACTTGGACCACTTTATAGGAGTTCTAGGCATAGCTATAAGATTAGCTAACCTTACGCTATAATTAGTACTTCTTAAATGACCTGATTTTTTTATCCCACATATTCACTGCTAATTTCATGCAGCTCTAGGAGTAATGGGTACAAAGACACAATAGACTTTCAATTGATTAATCAAGTCAAATTGATCGAAGCCGATCAATTTGATTGATCATGATGATCAAAGCTGATTAAAAAATAAAAAAGAAGTCAAATTGATTGAATTCATATTGGAATATATAAATTACCGTGTAGAACACCAGAATACTGTGGTGCAATCTCCTGGTTACAGAAAAGCATGAACAGAAGGTCAGATGCGAGTAAAACAGAATTTATGCTTTTCTTAATCCCGAATGAATTTTTCTGAATACACCAACCTGAAGGTTTACAAGGAAGCCACAGTGACTAAATGATTTTAGCCCAACAGCTAAAGTAAGCCAAGCAGATGCTATTGCTGGGTGTTTCGCCATAATTAAACCAATGAGAGAAATCCCAGGGCCAACAAAACCAATTGACTGCAAGGAAAGATATATGAGATGCTCATCATATCACATTACAAGTGGTAAGAAAATCCAACACAAAAATAAGACAACTATATATCGATGGAAAAGTTCCAATCTCCTAGTTTTCCAGGTTATACATATTTCTTTCAAACCACCTTCGGTGATTGTTTCCCAAATGATGAGTGGAAAATAACAAGAAAATAAATATGGAACAACCATAGCAAAGTAATATGTACAAGACGTTCATGAGTCTATAGCCACGAACCCATGACTGGTAAATGTATTTTATGTGCTAGAAATAATAAGTTCATAGAAGTTTTCTTTTTTTTACTGTGGGGTTACACCAATGATCTATTTTTAAGTCCTCATATTTTTGCTTTAGTTATGGATGAGTTGACGAGAAATATTCAGGATGATATGCCATGGTATATACTTTTTACAAATGATATCATGTTAGTCGATGAGCCTAGAGGAGTTAAAACTAAGTTGGAGATTTAGAGAGAAACACTTAAATCTAAAGGATTTAGGATAAGTAGAATTAAGACAGAGTATATGGAGTGCAATTTTTAGTAACAGTAACATTGAAAACAGAGGAGAAGTGAAGATTGAGAATCAAGAACTACCTAAAAGTAGACATTTTCATTATTTAGGATCGATTATCATAACAGCTGGGGGAGATTGGAGGAGATGTGGTCCATAGAATTAAGGCAAGGTGGCTTAAGTGGAGGAGTGCGTCTGGAGTATTGTGAGATAAACGAGTACCCACTAGAATAAAAGGAAAGTTCTTAGACCAAGTGATGTTGTATGAGACAGAATGTTGGACAACTAAAAAACAACATGTAGATAAGATATGTGTTGTTGAAATGAGGATATTAAAGTGAATGTGTGGCAAGACTAGAAAAGACAGAGTTAGAAATGAGTCTATTCGGTAGGAGTAGCATCAATAGAAGATAAGCCGAGAAAGAATAAATTGAGATGGTTTGGTCATATACAATGGAGACTAGCAAAGCAGTAGTGAAAAGATGCAATACAGTAATGGTGGATGGAAGTGCTAGGGGAATGGACAAACCTAAATTGACATGAGTTAATGTAATAAATAGATATATGAATCTCTTTATTTTGACAAACCAAATGGCTTTTGATAGAGTCGAGTGGAGAAGAAAGATTCATATAGCCGACTCCATTTGATGGGACTTAAAGCTTGGTTTGGTTTGAAATTCTTCAATGCGCTTTTTAGAAGATTCAGTAAACAACATGCGCTTTCAGTGTAGAATACCATCTTTGATTTAATAAAATTAATTTTATATTCCATCACAATTATTATAATTAAAAAATGTATGTGTGGAGGCATGGTATAATTTTCATTCAAAACTTCATAAATGATAATCTATCTTTACAACTTATGTTCTCTTCATGCCCTATATATTTCCTTTCTAGTTTTTTTTTTGTTTCCTTTTTTCACAAGATACATATGTCCCTCTTAACGAGGTCAACACTATCATAGTAATGGGTTATGTTGGAAAAAGGAATCCTGGATAGGAGTTATCCGCAAAACAATAAAAAAAATTGATGACATACAATAATTGCGCACCTGCATGATTTTGCGAGTTAAAGTGACCGTCATGCCACTTTCAATCAACATGTCTGACCAAACACCTGCAAAGTAGCCTACTAACGCCATCATGCTCCATGGAACAGCACTAAACCATGCTGCTTGTCTGAGGTCAACATGATGTATCTATAAAAAACAGACATCCATTTCATCGTTGCCACAAAATCAGTAGAGTTGTTTAGATTATATATGTGTTAAATGTCTAATCAACTTCAACTTTTAAACTTTAGGTAAGCAAAAAATACGGGCTTACTGTTTTAAAGTATATGGGCATCCATGAAAGAATAACAAAGAATCCCTGTGTGAAAAAGGAAAGAAAATGAGTACAAAAAAATCATACAATCCACCACAATGATTGGACAAGGTATGTAAACAAACATACTAAACAATACATAACACATAAACACACACTCGTATGGGGCTTTGTTATTACAATTGTATGTTTCGTGATTTGAATCATATGATTCGATTCAATTCAATTCAATGGGTAATTGATACGAACAGGTTGCATGAAGAGCAAATAGCCGTGAATTGAGGGTGAATCGGTGAATCGATCGATTCACTAAAATCTATTTTTGACTGCCTTTGTTGGTTTCTTATTGTTGGGAAAGGCTTAACACAACCTTTTTAAAGGTCTTTAGGGACCAGGAAAAAAAACCTAACATTCTCTCTACACAATATTTTAGGCTTACACATTCAACTATCTACGTATATGCATTTATAAAAGCACCTTTTTTTACAGCATAAAGTGAGATTTTTGAAAAAGTTTGGAGATGTAGGTTTCTTAACCCCCTTTGGAGGTGAGTGTTTCCATTACTTTAGTTAAAAAGTCATTGTTGTTGAGTTATTGTTGCCAGGAATTGCAAGTTTATCTTTGTTTACTTTCTTTATTAAGAACGGTTGATAAGAAATATCTAACAAGGAAAAGGTAAGATGATGACCTTACATAGGGACCAGTGTTAACTTCTTACCTATTAGATTATGTGATCATCATTCAAACCAATATTTTCATTAATTTAAATCTAAATATTTCATATTTATGAGATGATATCAAGTGTGTAAAAATATTTTTCTATGTAATTTAGAAAAAGTGACTGAATCTTTACGATTCATGATTTGAATCTCATTTTGACAACTATGTATGGGGTGTACGCGAGGATCCCTTTTAGCGAACTGTTCTTCCCTCATGAGAACTGTACTTTCCTTCATTGAATTTGGGAGGTCAAAGTTAACTGACCTAGAACACCTTGGGATGGTGAAGAAAACAACATATTTGAGCATTATAATATCATGGTATTGGTAGGGCAATCCAATTATCAAACATAATAATTGAAAACATTAGAAAAGAGACTGATAGAACTACTAGGCAGACTCATGAGCGCAGTACCCAGCTATGCATGGCATTTGCAACAATTAGGGACCACGTTGGCAGCTTAGAAAGCAAGCGCCTAAAAGGAGGGATCACTTTTGCTGTCTTCAATTTATTCTCAATCACAAAGGATTTTTGCCTCTTGCTCTGTTGTATGTACTCCAACTCATATCTTGATATTTGAGGACTTCGATCAGGAGTGCTTGACGTTGCTGATAGCCATACCAAAACCCAAAGAAATCCAGATAACCCAAATATCACAAATGGCCCAAATACACCACCCTGTGACATAAGGATTGGAGAAAGAATAAGTCCAACAGCACTTCCAAGCTGAAATCCAGCCATTGCAAGACCAACAGCCCTTGATCGTTCTGTTTGAGGAAACCATCTAAAGAAAAAGTCGAAACAATTTTTCAACATATTATCTTCACAAACTTTTTAACCATTAGAAGGACATATTGAGAAGTAGATTTTTACAACATCATCATAAAATAGGGATTTCTAGAGCTTCAATACCTTGCTATCATATTGTTCATACAAGGAAGAGCCACTCCTTCTGCCATGCCAAGCAACACTCGCATAGCAAGTAATGCCCATAAAGAAGTTTCTGCAGCCCAAGGAGTTAAAAAGGTGGCTAGTGACCATAAAGTCACACCCCATGCCATGACAACTTTACCACCATAATAGTCCACGAGTGTACCCCCAGCTATTGGTGATATCAGGTATCCCCAGAGAAAGGATGACTGCCATTAGTGACTAGTAGTGAATCAGATGCAATGTACATCAAGTGATACAATTATAACGGAAATAATTTCCTAGAAACAAGTGATATTCATATGCTTTTATAAACTGCAATTTTAAAAATGCCAAATAGTTTTATAAAAATGCCAAATAGTCACATCGCTAGAGCCTAAAACAATAGCATACACAAATGGAAATGACAAAAAAACTATTACAATACTTTAAAAAAAATCCCCAATCATTGGTTAATCATGAATCATAATAGTCCAAACTTGAAACTTAAAATACAAAAGTTCTGATTGTTTAAATGTTCAATACTCAATTCTGAAGCAATATTCATATAGAAATAATAAGCCTCAATTTTGAAATTTCATACAATCAGTTTACTGGAGCCAAACACAAGTATGTTGGCAATTGAGTACTTAAATGCCTGTGAGAACCATTAAAATTTCCTGAAACAACTCAATTCAATGGCATCGGACAAAGTAGGAAAAGGGTGAAAAACAAAACAAAACAAAACAAAACAAAACAAAAAAATTATTGTAGTCCAGAATTTTCAATATTTATCACAACAATCGCACTACGTAGCTCGAATTGGAAGCCCCTGAATGGCCCGAATGTTTTCACCAGTTGCCCAGACTTTGCGTGAAACCACGCTCATCTCTCTCTTCCATTTCTGAAACACCTCACAGTTCTGCTCTCTCTCTCTCTCTCAAACTGCGCTAACAATCTCTCGCTCAGCACCGCCAACCTATGAAGCATGGACACTCCAAAATTAGTGCCGTGGCGGTGTCCGACACGGGGACACGCCGGGGACACGGGGACACGCCGGGGACACGTATGGGACACGCCAGATGGCGTGTCCCTTTAATTTAATGATTTTTTTGCAGGGGACACGGCAGGGACACGGCGGGGACACGTGTGTCCATATGGGGACACGGCATGGGACACGGCGGGGACACGGCAGGGCTATTTTTATTTTTATTTTTTTTAATTTAATTTTTTTTTATTTTTTTAATCTTTTGCCTCTATTATTTCGTGCTTTTGTGAAAAATATTGTTGGATGTTGAATGTTTTCCCCTTCTCGTCTTAGTTCTTGTTATCGTTTATTATGATTTTTTGTGAATTTTTTGTGAATGGATGATCTATTAATTTGTTTAAATGTAATAGTTATGTTTATTCAATTAATGTTACTATGTTAGTGTTTGTTAATTTTAATTTAGGATGAATGTAATATGAATCTACATAACACATAAAAATATATAAAATAAATAAAATAAAATTCGCTGTGTCCCCCGCCGTGTCCGTGTCCCCATTTTTTGAAAATTGCCGTGTACCGTGTCCGTGTCCGTATCCGTGTCTGTGTCCGTGCTTCATAGCCGCCAACCGACGACGATCTCTCACTCAGCGCCGCCGATGATCTCTCTTACTCACTGCCGACGATCTCCCTCACTCATCGATGAGAAGAAACATCTCTCTCACAAACTGATGATCGCCGGCGAGAGTAAACATGAACCAAAAAGATAGATTTTGCTTGAATCAGTTGAAAATATTTTTATTTTTTGCTTGAATCAGTTGAAAATATTTTGTTTTGGGACTGAAGATTCTTTTTTTTTTTTCATGAATTTGGAATTGTTGATTTTTATGAGATAGTTTTGATTAAAAATTGGGGACTCGGTGGTCGTCAACGGTGATCTGCCGTGAAGAAACGGAACAGAGAGAGACAATGGAGAGAGAGAAGACAAAGCTTGTTGATGCTGTTGCTCTATTTTTTCTTTTCTTTTCTTTTCTTTTCTTATTTTTGGGTTGATTCTTCATTTTTGTTGATGCTTTGTTGTTGAAACTTAGAATCTCACAATGATTCTTCATTGTTGTTAATTGTTTTGTTGATACTTCATTGTTGAAACTTATTTGTCTTCAAATCATTTTTCTAAACAACAGAGCACTTCTTTTGTATTTTCCTTTGCTTTGTCAAAACATGAATGTTTTGGGGTCTGAGAAACAGAGAGATGGAGAGAAGAGATAAAAGGCAATGGGCGCGAGTCCAAAAGGTGAGATAAAAGGCAATGGGCGTGAGTCCAAAATTCGGGCCATTCGAGCTCGAAAATTTCGAGCTACAGATCATTTTTGTTATCACAAATCAAGCATTAAATTTAAGAATCTTCTGGGTTGAAAAGAATTTACCAAAAACGTTTAATCATAAAATAACAACTTAACCAAACCAAGCAACGGCTTGCATCCCAATCAAGTATAGTTGGCTGCATGATTTTTATTTTTTATTTTTTTTTCTCCACACCTACCACCTCCACTATACCACTCACCTACTACCTCCACTATTTTTCTCCACACCTACCACCTCCACTATCACACACTCCACTCCTCTATATATAGGAATTGTAATATACAGAAATTATCAATCTTGTAATATATCAATCAATAATACATCTATTTTTACAAACTCTATCAAGAGCTGTATGCTCAGTTAAAATAAATAACTTCATATCTTTTTCACTACCACATTTGTCCTCTCCCCCTAGCATCTCCACTTATGGTGATCCTATCACTTTCTTAACGTTGCACCAATAGGTCTTCGTTGTACATAACCTCTTAACATGTTCTCTCTTAATTTATTTTCAATAGGTGCTACCAATTCTATTTTTTCTAGTCTTTTCACCTAAATTATTGTCATTTTTTTTTGTTTCATCCTAAACTATCAATTTCATCAATTTCGTTCCTGAAGTATCTGAATTCAATTTATATAATCCAATTGAAAACGCTCATCCCAATCAGTAACATTGGAAGCTAATCTAGTGGGACAAAAATGCAACTTTAAAATTTAAACAACCTAAATCATACAATTAAACACCTATCTTCTTACTCACTTAAAAGTGTGGAGATATATTTTCTTAGTACCAACACGTGGCATGGTGACGCCGACGTGTCAGCCGAGGTGCCACGTGTCGTGGTAGCTGTGCCGAGGTTATCTTGGCGATGCCGAGGTTATCTCCGAAGATATCGAAATCCGAGATAAACGGATAGGGGATAAGAGTTCTAGAGAAAAGAGAAGACTTTACTAAGATAAGGATAAAACTCTAAGAGAGTTTATCTTTATCTCTTGAGGAATCCAAAGTAAGTACTAAATTGGAGTCTATAGAAGTCAGGTTTCTAGTAGGACTTGGATTGAGTAAACTATAAAAGAGAGGCACCCCCGTGGGTCTAAGGTACGCAGTTATATACTCAAGCTTGTGAGTTTAGCACTTGATTATCTTTGAGAGATATACTGACTTGATCGTCGGAGTGCCCCCGGGTGGAAGAGCCACCGCCGGAGCCCTTTCTTTCTGTTACAGGTTTGCTGAAGCCATCTATTCTGCCAGTGCTCTCCAGCTGATTACTAGGCGGGCAGTGTGGTCAGAAAATTACTCACACAATTTGGCGCTGTTTGTGGGAATCTTAGAAGAATAGATGGCCAGTAACGGACAGAGGGAAAACATTGGGGGCGACACTCCTGCTGGAAGTGGCAGACCAATTGACCTTGACGTTGAAGGAGACAACCACAGTACAGAAAATCACGACCAGGGCCACGGAGAAAGAGACGTCGGCCAGGAGGGCGACGCTTCGAAGAGGACAGACCAAAGTAAGTATTATAATGAAGATAACCTTCAGGTATGGAGAGATAGGTGCCTACGGAGAGATGAGGAAGTAAAAGACTTGGCAAACAAGTTGGCAGACCTACAGTCAGTGATCAACTTCATGATGCAAAACAATGTTATGCAGCCACCGTACCCGTTGCAAGATACGCCGATACCAGCAATTAATACCCAGAAGGGAGGAAGGAAAGCAATCCCCGAAGCCCCTCAGCACAGCAGGAGTGGAAGGCACTCTCACCGACCTTCCAAGGAAATCGGACGAGAGGAGCCAAGGCAAGAAGAGTCCCAAAGGACACATCACATGAAGGACCCAAGGCCCAAAGAACATCGGAATGTTCAAGGCCAAGCACTCTGCTTTGACACAACCCATGGAGAAAGATCGAAACGGGCCCACCACGAGGCCGAAAGTAGTGTGCCAAAAAGATTGAAGTCCAGAGATAGCCGAGCTCCAGGGAGAAGTAAGGAAGACTTGAGGGATTATCTCAAAAGGAGGGAACAGAATGTTGAAGCCGAGGTGACTTCCGCAGTTAAGCCGAGAACACCTGTTAATGTACACTAAACCTAACCCACTAACCTAACCCACTACATCCACTCCACTAAACCTAACACACTTACCATCTCCACTACCACCCACCACCTCCACTACCATCCACTACCACCACTCACCTACCTCACACCTCTCCTATATAATAGCTTGTAAAATCAATATATACAACAATCTTGTAAAACAACAATCAATAATACATTGAATTTTAACAACACCGTTCTCGGTGGAACTAGACAAATTTAAAGTACCAAAGAGATTCAGTATGCCGAGGTTCCAAATTTATGATGGTAAGTCAGATCCCAACTTTCATGTTAGTCTATACCTGAACTCCATCGCGTTATACAGTGGGAACAAGCCGTTGCTCTGCAAAGTATTTCCCTCATCCTTTGGGGAAATTGCATCCGATTGGTTCCATAAACTACCAAAAGGAAGCGTAAAGACGTGGGAAGACCTAGCCGAGATGTTTGTAGCCAGATTTGTGACGAACAAACTACAGCCCTTGAGGGTCGACGCCCTGATGGCTTTAAAAATCACCAAAGAAGAAGGCCTTAGGGCCTACGCGAAGAGGTACTACGAGGTGTTCAATCGAATACCCGAATGCAACCAAGAGGTGGCGGTCGTGTCTTTCAAGAACGGCCTGAAAGATGACTGCCCACTACGGAAGTCTTTGTTGCAAAACACTGCCAAAAAGCATGGAAGAACTCATGGCAAGAATCGAGAAGTACGCCAGAGCCGAGGAAGATACATCGGGAAGCAAAGAGATAAAGCAGGAGAAAGGAAACGGCTCGCCGAAGCGAGGCTGAGGTAA